AATAATTAAATTATTTTATTAGCTTTTTTAATAATTTTCTTAATTTTTTTACTTAGCTTAAGGTTTTTAATATTCTTTAGTTTATTTAACTTATATTTTATATTACTTAATTTTAGTTTTTCTTTTTTTAAAACTTTTAATTATAAATTTATAATTTTATTAATTATAAATTTAATTATTTACTTAATTATTTTATTATATATTTTAAATTAAAATTAAGTTATAATTATTATTTAAAAGTTTTTATAATAATTATTTTTATTAATTAATAAACTTAATTTATTAATATTTTAGTTTAAGTATAATAAAAAAAATATAATTTTATTAAGTAATTTTTTAATTTTAAAAGTATTATATATATAATTTATTTTTAAAAATTATTATTACTTTTTATAATTTAATATAATAATTTAATTATTTAATTTAATTAAGTTATTAAATTATAAATTATAAATTTAAAATTAATTATATTATATTTAAATTTTATTATTTAAGCTTTTTTATATATTTTAAATTTAATTTTAAACTTTAATTAATTATATTTTATAATTTAAATTTTTAAAATTTAACTTAATTAATTATAATTAATTAAGTAAAGTTATAAATTAATTTTAGATTTTAAATTAAAGGCTAAAGTATAATTTTTTTTTAATTTTATTATTAAAATTTTATTAAACTTTTTAATAATAAATATAATTTTTATATAATTCTTTTTATAATATTAATATTAATTTTTTTAATATTATTTTATAGTTTTTAAAAAATAATATTTTTTAGAATTTTTTAAAATACTTATATTAATACCTAAATAATAAAAATATAATACTTAAATAATAATACTTATTATAAAAAGTATAATATTTTTTTTATAAACTTAAATAATATTATTTTAGTTTTAATTTAAAAGCTAAGTAATTAAGGAAACTAAATAATATATAAAAAATATTATTACTACTTTTTTATTTTAAAAAAGTTAAAAACAAATACTATTTTTTATATAGCCCTAGCTATATAATATATAATAGTAATTATATATACTAACTCCTTAACTTTTTTAGTATTTATTTAAGCTAATACTTTAAATACTAATAAATATTAAATTTATATATATAATATAATATAGTTTTTAAATATATAAATCTTTTTATAAAATCTAAATAATTATTAACTATAAAAATTAGTAACTTTCTTTATCTATAGTACAAGGAGAAACCTTACCTCTATTAACCTCTCTGTTAAATCAAAGCATTCGCGTCGTATTTCTTCTCCAAGGTCTTGAGAAGAGAAACGCCATAATCCTGTAAATCCCATTTCATACAATGCATCTATTAGTGGCCGCATAGACGTCATTTTATCCTGAAAGTTTGCGTCTGATGAGATTGTTCGCAGTAGGGTATTGGCGGCCTTTAGAGCACTGGTATCCTGGCTATGTAACAGTACCTCCTCAATTAATGACGGTATTGCACCGCATCTATACGAAACCGGTCAATAACCCGTATAGTCAAGCAGCATTGTACACTTACAATTGTTCAAATACCAAAGGCCGTTGCAGGGCTAGATCATTCAGCCACTGAAGGCTCCGGACTTGTACACGCTCCTCAAGATATTGGAAGTCAACTAATTCGATAGCCGAGATGAGCAATAGATCCTTGTCCCTTACATTATCCATTCTTTGTCGGCCAGTGTATGTTGTAGTATTGCCGGTGCTCTCTGAGCCGATGCCGGCAATCCAGAGGCCATCTCTATAGTCTTCAGGGAGCACGCTTCGCGCCGAAATAAGGGCAAGGTATGGTAAAGAATCTGTTGTAGGGTTACTTTTAGCTGTTGGAGGAACCGTGGTAGAGTTGGCAATCTCAAAAAATGAAGATAGAACGCGAATTGCCGTTGGGCGTGTTGATGTATCAGTGAGTCCGCGTACTAGATAAGCGCAGACGGCAAAGTGAAAGCTCTCATGATCGAAATGAATTCCGTACGCATCATCAAGCGGCAATGCAGATTCTTCGAGCTGACTACGACTTTGTAAAAGGAGTGGGACAATTTTCTCTCCCGTAGCATTGCCCACTGCGCCAATGTTGGTCAAGACTGCTTCAAGGAATTGCGCCGTGCAGTTGAAAAGACCGATAGGCACGAGTCGGACGAGAGACATGGCTAACCAGAAAAGTTGAAGTCCGTAGCGAGAGGCAGAAGGAAGCTTGATCATCATTTTTGACAACGACGTTACGATAGAGATGAGCATTTCGCTATTCCCATCTTCCCCGAATTGGCCGATGCTATTTCGCAGGGCTACGAGAACTTGGTAGAGGAGGTCGTCGTCTACCTCTTCACGAGCTAGGTATCCCATTACCGCAAAGGCTCTTGGTTGAACAGCTGGATTATTTTGAAAGGCAGTGCTTGCCACAAGGCTCATCCAGCGTGATCTCCAGCTATTAGCCAAGTCAATAGAAGGTGCTGCAATAGAGCATATGTCGAATAAAATGACAGTTAGATTTTCAGTTGCTGCTAGTGTTGAGCTCGAATCGTGTGCTGTAGAGACAGAGGCACCGTCGCGAATATTCGAAGTCGTCAAAGAGAACGCCTCGCCTCGAGGCTCACAGAGAAGGTCAAGGTTTGCTTTCAGTTTGGTGAGTTTTGCTTCGTCCAGGTTGAAAGCTGTACAGACTGAATGGACCGAATTAACCAGCAGCTTGTACACGAGTGAGCGAACACTATTGTCGCCTGTATTGGCGAGCATCGTCACGATATGAAAAATTTCAGGCAAGAATAGCCGAGACTGGACACCGCTATCGAATGACAAAGCAACACAAAACTGGAGAAGCACGCATATCTCTGCCCAGACAGGGCTGTCTTGCAGATATCTCGTTGGTCTCAGTGACGAACGGTTGAGTGTTTTGCGAAGTCGGGAGAATATCTTTCCTCGAATCGTAACAGTTCCGATGCCGATGATGACTGGTGAGATGACGTCCAACGACTCCTCATGAGCACCATAGCTTAAAGCAGTCTTTATCAGCTCATCAAGGAATATATCAAGCAGGAGTTCATCATTGGTTATTGATGGTAAGACAAAATGTTGGAGAGGATAAGAAAGGTGCGGGTCTAAAACGATGAGATCGATCAGCTTCCTCAATAGTGTTGCGACCTTTTCTCGTCCCTTTTCGCTGTCTTGTTCACTGGTCAAGACATTGGTTCGAAGACCGGCGAGCCACGGTGACATGTAAGCCAAGCTGAGTGGCCTTTGCTCTTCAGGGAAGCTCTCCCACCCTACGAAAAATTCGGTTAAGAAGTCGGATGTGAGCTGTGGCTGCGTAGTTGCTAATATATTGCTTATTTCCACTACAAATCGCGTTGGATCCATAGGAATGGAGATGTCTAGCAGACGAGATTAGTGTTAATGATCAGTTCGGTCAATAGGCGGCTCGGAACGGACCTTTCGCGCATGATAATCTAGAATCAGCGCTATACTTGAAGGCCCTGCACAATGCTCCAAGCAAATTATATGACGCCAACCTTAGAGAGCGATCCGAGCTCAAAAGGTTGGTAAAGGCGAGGTTGAGTAATGTACCGGGTACGTCTTGAGGACGCATAAGCCTCTCGAAGGGCTTATATGTACGATTCTCTTTCCCATGCTTGTTCTTGGCGCTGCGGATCGTCTGAAGCACGTCGGCTTTCTTTGGGCTGGTAAAGTACATGACTATTTTGCCTCCATCTGCTCGGAGTCCGAAGGAAGAATCATCTTCTGATTGAAGTGTTGTCGTTGCTTCTTCCACATCTCCGAGACGGAAGATATCGTTGACAGTAGTGCTGAGACGGAGGCCAGACAAAACCTCCTGCTTCTTGGTTGTGGTTACTTGGACAAACTGGCTTCCAACTTTGATCACCACTTCTACTTTTCCTTTCGACTTTGAGAGCCTTGTAATGGGCTGGAACATATAGCGAGTATCTGTAACAACGCTAATAGTTTCCTTAGGGAGATGGAGTTGGCTGAGATGGAAATGGGCTTGGAGATCCTGAAGGCTTCCTATCAAGTGATACTCCACGTTTCTCGGGTGAAAAGCACTGCTATCAGATCTTGTGGATACTCGTAGCAGGTGTCGAAAGCATCTCCTGCAATCACCTCGTTAGTGACGATGAAAAGGGTAACAGCACGTATCTGACCAACCTAAAGGCGCTGTTCATGTTGTACACATAAATTCTCGTCAGGTTAAGTGTCAACTCTGAGGGAGTCAGAAGATCAAGCATTTTAAAGAAGTCATCCTGGGGGTCGTTCCGTCCATTATAGCATGTGGCATCTATGAAAAGTCCGAAGGGTTCATGCCAAAGTCTGCTGGCAATCTGTCAAACGAATTAGAATCCCTTTCTTTGGTCCATTGCTACAAAGGCCCCGGCTAGCTGGTGCTACACAGGTTCTCATGCAGCGCAGCAGCTTGGGTGTCAATGACTATGGAGAAGACTCAAGAGCTTACCTTGAGATAGCAATAAAGCATTGTGTCGTAATCAATGTTATCCGCTTCGATGTGACGTAGTATAATGCAAATGATGGAAAGTCCATCCTAGAGAAAGCTCAGTTAGCATTAGTTAATTCTCATATCATGAGGAGCATGGGCGAGCTGAGAGGATGGTTAACAAGCCTGTCTCACCTTGCTCTCGCCTCCATCATACACCGCACGAGATGTCAAATAAGACTCCGTACCACGAAAGGCGTTGCGAAGCATAAAGTTCTGGAACCGTGAATACAAAGGTGGGCTGTTTGTTGAGATCTGTGGCCGGTTCCATGATATGGCCAAAGGAGGGGGGCCGAGATTTGCGATCAAATTTCGTAGGGGTTCCATGGCTGGTGAACGACCACGGGGATGCTCTCCTGGCGATCTGACGTATTCTCTCCTATCCTTGGAGACAAGAATCTGCTGAAGGTGGTCCCAATGGTCATAGAGGAAGCGGTGTAAGGCCACACATGACCCAAAATCGATGGCCTTTTTGTTACTACTGATTTCTAGTTGACTCGGTGGGATCTTTCAGGTGGTCAGTCTATCTTCGCAAAAAAGAGCTGTCCAATCACTCACAGATATTTCACGTAGAAATCCCATGACGACATGGATGTTCTGGACTAAGAATAGGTTAAGTGGAAACATGTAAGGCTCCTTTGTTCCGAATAGAACGTTGTTGGCCAAGTTTTGAATTATCTTTGCTATGAGCAGTAGACCTCGCCGCATCTCCTTTGACGGTGGTGTTGGCACGAGTCCCTCTACTTCTGGAGCGACAATTGCAGGACAGAAAAACCGGAGGAAAATGAACGCGCCAACTGCAGTGTATTTGGCATTCGGGAAGCGGTGTAAAACAGCATCAGAAATCTACTTGAGGTGTGAGGGCTATTGATCAACAACCAAGGGATATTAACTGAACTCACTATGCTGCATATTTTTCTGAACGAAGGGGGTATATTGGAAGCAGAAGCACAAATATCGTCCATGAAAACTTTCGCAACTATCTGAAGTTGAAGAGCATTCTTTTGCAGTTCTTCCTGTGTGCCAACTCTGGTCGGATCAAGCTCCAAATCTAAGTCTTGGGATGTGAGCATGAGTCGTTCAAGGACCTTGTGAAGAGTTCCTTGTAAATAAGCAAAACCTTTCCACCTGGCGTAGACAGAGAGCATTTTGGTTGCAACGCAATTTCGACGCAAAATTTCCGTCTCGTTTTCTGATGGGAGATTAGCTCAGATCTTTTCCGGTATTACTAAAAGGAGTGATGAGAAACACAATATCTTACCCGTCTGATCAATTTCTGCCCGGACGAGTGCCTCAAACAGTTCGAATATGAGGCCTCTTTGTTCAAATACGGTTAGAAGGCAAATTGTAAGCTCATCGACTTCTGTACTAGGGCATATTGCACTCATTGAGGCAGGAAGTGATACATCTTTTGTAAGTAGCTTCATTCACACTGTCAGCTTCTGGCAAGGACTAAGTCAAGCGTGGGATTACCAACCTCTAAAAGTTCCTCATATTTCTTGCTAACAGCCGAGTCTGTCAAATTGCTAAACTCAGTTCCTTGGATCAAGATGTTGAAAAGAACTTTGACGAATGCTGTTCGGATCTCAACATTGTCGTGGTATCCGATATTGATGGAATGCTTGAGACCAACGTCAATATTCGCGCTAAGGAGGTTGGAGAGGATGGTGATGGCCAAGTCTGAATTGGAAATCACTTCATCCCGGCCGACTAAAGTTGCAGAAAGCTCCGATCTGCTGATCTCGGTAGACTCATGATTGAGAAGGGAAAGAAATCGATTGAAGTAGGTGTGGAACATTTGAGACTTCATCTCGCTCATTCCAACATCCGACTGACTGTCAGCGGGCTGAAGCGGTAGACGAAATGTGAGATCTGCAAGAGATCGCAAACAAGCTTTATCAAGATCCTTTTGAACTCTGTTCAAATCATCTGGTTTCCCACCTGCGCCGGCCTGATCCACATGTGGTGATCGTGGTCGATCTATCCAGCCAATGGTGTATTCAAGGAGTTGGTTTCGAATATGCACATCGTCACGGAGGTTCAAATGCTCCTTTCTCTTCGTTACTGCTTCGCACAATTGACAGACCCTTATCTTGACTCGAAGGGTATTTGCAGTATCTGCAATCCCGTCGATGAACTTTGCGAAGTTCAATGTCATAAGGCCCAAGTGGACTGACGAGGCGGCCCCTAAGTCAGCAGGGATTTCTAGTCTCTCGACCAGAGTCTTTAACAAGGAAGCAGCTTGCTCCGCAAAGATTATGTCTGTTTCTTGAGCTTTATCTGCCGGAGCGAGAACACCTGCAAAGAGCACTTCTAACTCTGATTCGAGAGATTTGAATAGGGCAGGATAAAGAACTGGTGACACTTCGCTCGACAGAATTTCGCGCATAGCTTCACGGACCCTAACGTTTGCACACGCTAGGAGTTGGATAGCCGACTTGAGATAACGTTTGAGCGAAGGCTCCTCGGATTGCTCAGATGGTGATCGATCTATCCATCTCAGATTCTGGAGTGATGGCTCCTCCAAAGCAATGGCCTGATCTGCGGTACAAGCTCCCCCAAGAGACGCGAGGAAGCCTGACAAATTTCGCCACTCTGACAATAACCGGTCATCAACAGAATTCGGATGTAGCGTGGAGACTTTTTGAACTAAATAGATCCAACGATCAAATGCGATTTCCCAGGCGTTCAGTATGCCTAATGTGGGAAACTGTATGCGACGCAAAAAGGTTCGAATTCGTTTTTGGAAGGCGACTAGTCCTGTGAATCGAAAATCTGGAGATGCGATCTCACGGAATACATCGCCGTTGCGAAGAATTGACGCTGATGACTTGATAGATTCAGAAAATTCACCGATGCAAGAGCACTCTGCCAGAAATAGGCCTATGCAAGAAGTAACAAGCTGACAGACATCAATATCGGCGGAGCAAAGAGATACAAGAAGAACAGTCTCTAATTTGGACGAGGCAGCTACCATATCAGGAAGCTCATCAGACAGGCGAGTCAACTCCTACAGCAATTCATCGTATAGCATTAGTGAGGGCTGCTGTATATCGCATGAATGGATTCTTACCGGGATGTTTTTCAACAAGGTGAGCCGAGCTTTGAGATAGTCGTGCATCGTTGTTAGTTCGGATAGCCTAGGATGAACCATTCGTTCACACAACTCGAGTAAAACCTTGGAGCTTGAAGAATATTAGTTCATGTTGGATAACACTAGTCTTCCATCTTACCTTCGAGTCCAGAATGTCTCACGCAGCTCAAGTATATCGGGATGACTCTGCTCATTGAAGGACTTGACAGCTTCTGGGTGCTCTGAAAAGAGTCGCTCAGCAACTTCGGTTGCTGTTTGGCAAATGGATTTGTTGGATGATATCACAGTGAATGTAAATGGCCCTAGCGTATCGAGAGTCGGCGTCTGACGATTAAGCTCATTCAATAAGGGCGTGGGCAAAGCACCGAGAAACTTGAGGATGCTGCGCGCCATATTTATGACTTCATTACTGAGATTTGCCGCCGGATCCCATGAGACAGCTACGCAAGTCTGAAACCAATTAGTATAAGCGTGGTGAGAAGCAGAAGACAGTTTTGTGTGCCAAACCTTCAGCTGTGTTTGAATAAATGGAAGAGCCTCATTGAAGAGCTCGTTATATCTGGAAGAGTCTGGCTGGTTCGCAAGGTAACAGCAAGCTTGGATAACCGCGACTTTGAAGCTATGCGGCGACGAAGGAGAGATACAAGTATCAAGGACAGTATCAATACACACATCTAAGTTGAGATGCGCTAGCGTAATAAAGGCAGCAGTAATCATATTCTGATCAAACTGGGCAGAAGGTGAATTTGTAGCGGAATGTCGAAATACTGCGTCCCGTACTTCGTCCTGCACATCCATGGCATAACTGACAAGGGCAGAATCGCTCTCTGCACTGAAATGACGAGCAGCGCGGAGCAGAGAGATGACACAATATCCGGCTTGCTCATTTCCATTCTTCATGGTTTTACGCAACGCGTCCAAAAAAGACACCTTCTTCATGATATTGTTGCTCTTAGCCTCCCTCAAGTTACTAGCGACCTCGAAAACATCAGGCATGAGGAAAAGAAGGGTTGTTTGGAGAGGAAACAGAAGAGTTTTGCGTCTACCATTGTCAGTCACGGTTTGTGTCATATCAAAAAGGGTATCCGCGCCTCCGTCGAGTCGTTTATGAAGTCGGTGGAGGTGGACAAATTCTTGCGGATATCGGTCAATCCATCGAGCTATTAATAACGGCATCGTAGCAGCGACAGTGTTTTGATATGATTTTCGAAAATGAAGAAAGCTCGAGCAAATCTCTTGTATGATGAGGCCAAGCTTGGAACCATCCACCCAGAAGGAGGAAAGAAGTCTCATGATAACAAGCGACCCTCTCCCAGACTCTTGAGAGCCCCAAGTCTCCGCAGTAGCTTCCATTGCTGCAGAAACGCGGACATTGTATATGACCTCTCTAAGATAGCTAAATGAGTCTGACCAGCTGGACGCTGTGACATACCCCACGAGTGTCTTGACAGGTGTTTCGATTTGATCAAAATACGAAGACAAGCGGCGCTCGACGTTGGGATCATCAGGATGGGCATCTTGCTGCGGCTCTTCGGCTGAGGATGTCACGCTGGCACTACCTTCGGTCCCTTGATCTAGCAGTACTTCTGCCGATAACATGTAATTGTCGGATATAGGTTCCAGCAAATCTTTGAGAGTGTCAAAGATTCGGCTAACAAGTCGCTCGCCCAGGGTATTAGATGGCAAAGGCGTGGTATTGTCGCGCGAATTGGGTTGCGCAGTCCAATTAGCAGAGCAGCAATCGGCTGCCAGGCTCAACACAAAGATCTCCGAGGACAAGACATGGCTGGGATGATCCGAGATAGTGCCATAGGGGCGCGCGAGGTCTTCGAGTAGTCCCACAAGTGATTCCAATATAATATTAATGGAAGATTTGCTCAAGTCGACAAGTGTGGATCTCGTTATATGCAGCACTTCATCTTCAAGGGGACTTTGACTGCTCGTTCCAGTGAGGTGCGGTAGCTACAACGCGAGGATTGATAACCGTTAGCTAAGTGTTCGTAGATGCAAATATACCCGATTGACGCGAATTGTTGCTTACCCTGCTGGACAATCGCTCGACCAAGCAGGCCACCAGACTTGAATCTCCAGACATGACGGCGATCTGGAGATGTCGGAACGAGCTCGTTGGGAGTGGATGAGGCCATCATCAAATCCAGGGCCTGGAAGTACAGCGCGGGGTACATTCTAGCATGTAGCGCGACCCCTGGATTGGACTCCCCTCCAAGGTACTCCGGACAGCATCACGGTATTAGCACAGGTACTTTTTTGTACCTCGGCGCACAACGTTACGGCCGATATTACAGGTAGGGGGCTCCAGAACAGGCATCTGTTACCAAATGATAGGGCGCCTCCAACGGTACCTACCAGGTACTAAAACAGCACATTAGGAGCTCCAGCCAGTACACGTACTACTACCTAACAGTAAGCTTCTCTCTAGCTTCCTTGTCTGTCACTGCGACACTACAGCTGGCACACTTGCGAATAGCATCTTCGCCACAGATCGTGTTTGCATTTACCGACAACGGTTTTCGTAGTTGAGAACAGTCAAAGGGCGTTTTCACCGGAGCAGCTATGCAACAATGCCTCGTAGGCACGGTGCTTTAGACGACTACACGTCTGCTGTGCCTCAAGTTTGTGTTCCTACCTTATCATGTGCAATCCTCATAGTTCACCCTAACCAAGTCTCAGATCATCTTGTCAACCTCCGATTCCGACTATCTAGATCACCTCATACCGGTGCTTAAAGATGCAACCAACTCACGGCGGACGCCAGCCCTTCTGCAGTCCTTGTCTCGGTATTCCGAGGACCGCGAAGCAGACATTGAACGAATCGGACTAACCAAACACGAAGAGTTTCTCGATTCGGTCCACAGACTACAAGAAGTCCGCGAAGGGACTGTTACCCTCACCACTGAGATTCTCAAGCTCAACCAATCAATTCAAGCCAGTACCGAGAAGCTTGCTGATCAAAAGGGTGCCCTTGTCAACACCAAGGCTGTGCGCCAGAATATTGCTGACGCGGCGGATGCCCTTCGAGAATCCCTTACGGTGCTCCATGCCGTGAACCACTCCCATGAGCTCGTACGCCGCAAGAAATACTATTCAGCCTTAAAGTCGCTGGAAGATTTGCAGAATGAACACCTTGTGCCAATCCTCCAGAATCGTTATGCCACCCAACATCGCCTAGCAGATGCAATTCAGAAGTCTCTTCCTGCATCCCGAAGAGCAATTTCCGAAGCGGTCATGTCTGACTTGAACACCTGGCTCTTTCGGATTCGTGAGACTTCACAATTTCTCGGTGAAGTCGCGTTCTATCATACAGAAATGCGAAGAAACAGGCAAAGAGCTCGAATCGAAAACGAAAAATTCTTGGAGAATTTCAAGTTGAATTCGTCTATTGAGTTGATTTCCGATGAGAATGAGGAATTCGATGTTCTCGACAACGAAGAGCTCCAAGTTGATTTTACACCGCTGTTTGAAGCTCTGCATATTCATGATGCCCTCGGACACAGCGACCGATTTCGCTCGGAATACGCCTCTACCCGACGCCAGCAGAAGGACCTTTTAGTGCCAACTTCGATTGATTTACTGGCTGAAGAAGGGTCTTCTCTAAGCAGTCTTCTTGAGGGAATTGCAGGATTTGCAATTATAGAAAAGGCAACGATGCAACGGGTCCCGTATCTACGATCCGTGGTTGATGTGAGTATCAGCGCACCTGGAACTCTTGAGTCCCCAACTGGTTTTAACGATATATTACAGGTAGAAGAGCTGTGGGATTCCATGTGCACCGCCGCTATAACCCTTACAACGAAGTCTCTGACAAACATTGATAATGCTGAAGTTTTACTCAAAATTAAAAGCGTTATTGCACTGTTCATTCAGACTATGGAAGTAAGCATGCAGTCTCGTGAATCGTTGCTGTTATACTTCTCTGACAAGTACTTGTTTATGTCTAGGGCTGGGGATATTCTGTGTCTACTCTGGATAATTTTCTCCTGCAGCTCTTCGACAAATATGCTCAGCTACTGAAGCGCCGATTCAGCGAAGACTTTCAAGAGGTGGGTGGTACAAATTGTCCTTGTCAGAAGACCATTTACTGATGAGCGATACTCGGTAGATTGTTTCGACGGATGATTACATGCCGATGGCTATTAACTCACTCAGCGACTATGAAAAAGTGATAAACGTCAGCTGGTTTACGCCAGATCGACCCACGGAGGAGCTTACGTACGCTTATTATATTTCTTGGATGCGCGGTCAATACTAATGATTGTGACAGGTTTCCATGCGTTTTACCATTTTCTCAGATGTATCCACTCTGCTGTATCGATATCCGAAACTTTCTAAATCAGTTCTATTTCTTTCTCGATGATCACTTTCAGCACTCAGATATCATTGATGAGACGCTTCGAAAGGTTTCTACTGCCACCCCTGTCCCTATCCAAGTAGAATCATAGACAACTAATCAACAAAGCAGTCTTTAGACGAGCTCCTCAGCGAGAAAGTCTGTAAATCCCTCGTCGAGCGTTTAAGCTCCCAATATCTGGGTCAAATAGTGCAGATCCTTATCAACTTGGAGCACTTTGAAATAGCCTGTCGGGAGTTGGAACAGCTATTGATACGAGCAAGGTCGTCTACTTCAGCGGGTGGTCCTTTGAGACTAAACGCCACGGAAGAGTTTCGCAACAACAAGAAGACTGCCGAGAAGAGAATATTTGAACTGGTCAACTCCAAAATTGATGACCTCGTTGACACGGCAGAATATGACTGGTAAGGTTTTTGGATAATGAAGTCACCATAGGTGCTAATCAAGACATTTGTAGGCTGGCGAGCGGTGTGCCGACAGAGCCAAGCAATTACATGCAAACGCTCACTCGGTATCTATCCAATATTATGAACTCGACGCTTCTGGGGTTGCCAAGAGAAATCAAGGAGTTGATTTATTTTGATGCTCTCAGCCATGCAGCTGAAAAAATCCTGGTATGCCGTTCCCCGTACCCAAATTATTACTCTCGATCGACGCGTATTAACCAGCCTCCAAAGGCCCTCCCTCTTTCACCCGAGGTTCGACACATTAATGGGCATGGCGTCTTCGCTCTGGCACAAGATGTCAACTACCTCACAGAGTTTGTTGGAAGCCTTGAAAACGGGCAGATGCTACGCGAAAATCTTGACGAACTTCAGCAGACTGTAAATCTGATGCAGTCTGACAATCATGAAGAATTTTATGATATTTCAATCCGCAACAAGAAATATGGCCGAGTTGACGTGCTCAATGGCCCGATACTACTTGAGAAGTATGCCGTCACCGAAACACCTGAAAATAAACAAAAAAAACGAAAGACCCCTTGAAAGACAAAAGCTAACACAACGTAGGCTTCTTCCTACCGCGCAGCCTTCGGGGAGAGCTGCGCCACTTTCCAACTTGTCTCGCTTTGCCATCATGAAATGAAGCAAAGCGATATCTAGACGCCTCTCTAAACTACAAGATATGCTTGTTTATTTTGCATACCTGGAGACTCTTTCGCATTAGCAGCTACCCACATGGCCACTCTGAGGCTGCGATTTTTATGTGCCGCAACAGAAGTTGAAAGAGCACTTGTCATGTAGGCGTTTTATCAAACCAACTACCTTTTCCCTCTCTTCCTGCCAACTGGGAGGCCCCTATTCAAACTCCTCAGACGGCATAGATGCCTATCAATGATTAGAAGAGTAATGCTGTGGCGGAAATCTCTTACCTGTTGGGGTTGCATTGCCGAATATTGTTGGTACATGCCCTCCATCTCACTATACATGGCCGCTTGTGCTTGGGGTTGTCCATAAGGGGCGGGAGGGGCTTGGCCGGGATACATGTTGGGAGCTTGTCTGTAATCCTGCTCAGAAGCAAGGGCATGCCCGCCCATATAATCTGCGGTGGCCATTGGGTGAGACGATGGATGGCCAGCCGACTGGGCCATGCCGGCATGCTGCCCCGGCATTGGCGCCTGACCCGGCCCCGGAACAGGCGCGGCGGAAGGCTGTGTGGTAGTTCGTTTAGCGTGTGCCGTAGCTTCTTCTCTGGGGACAATATCGATCAAGAAATCAAACATGTCGGACTTAGCAAGTGCAGAGGCAATATCGGACCGCTGTAATGTGCGTCTCTTATTCTCCTCGGCATGAATCCATGCTCGCATGGTAAGTTCCGTGATGAATATGTCACAGCCCTTGGCAAAGAGAATTGGTGCCTCTGCCGAGATCATCTTGACCTCAGGATCCGCCTTCATGACTTTTTTGATGCGGGCGAGGGGAAGTTGATGGATTTTGTAATCATGAGTGTCACTCTCCAAATGGCTGATTGTTTGTTGCCAGTAAGTCGTCAGGATATCCTTGTACTGTCCAGTGAGTCCCTGATGAACCTAAAGTGCGCCGGCTGGTTAGCAAGTGGAAGCGCAGTATGGCAACCAAGGAAGACAAACATTGGCCCAGGGCCCGGTGTAAAGTTCCGCGGGCGCAAAGCCTTGCGAGGCAAGCTGTATCCTAAGTTAACACCAAACAAAGGCTCGGCCGAACAGACATCGATGTATACGAACCGCAGCACAGGCACCTAAGCAGGGCGCATTAGTCTTCCCATAGTGTACGCCGAGTTGGGCAAGAATAACTGACCATAGTGTCCGCCTTGTGTAGGATCATACACTGGTGTAGGTCGGTTATGTGAAGGGTGTGCCGGTGCGGATTGATTTTGTGATTCCATTGTCCAAGCTGGATGATTGACGAGTAGCGATGTTGATAGTCGTGATGATGCAAGAGACGCTACTAACAATAATGCCGGCGTCAGCTCCCGCGATTATAAGTCCAGTGTTATATAGATGAAAGCGGGCTTATACATTCGTACCTGTGGTTACTTGCGGAGCTTGGTTGGACAACTTTGAGCAGAAACAAAAACACAGTTGGGTATAGTGAGAGCGCGTAACGGTGTAACTGGAGTGGAAGTGCAGCTGTCGCGTTGTTGATCTTGGGCTGCCTTAGGTGATGTTGTCAGAGGTGCTTCCCACCTTGCGCAGCCCATTCCTAGAGTAGCCAATCATTGACCTAAGCTGGCAAGCTCGGTTTTCGTATATTCATTAATCGCATAACTATGCATACTGTAATTTTGCGCAATCGATTGTGACAAAAGTGGGGGCAGAAAAATTCTTGTAATGGAATATCCACTTCTCTGCATAACGAGCGCCAAAATTCCATACTACAAAAAGACCACTTTCCTGAAAATTTTACAACGGGGACTTCTCACGAGGCGGCCTTGATCTTCTCCTCCCAAGTCATATGATGGCTGGCTTTGCCGACAATGACGTGCAGAAGCTTCTCCAGCAGGCCGAGGAGCGCCTCAGCGGCGGCCGTATAATACCAAAGCAAGCCTCCACGGCTTCGACAACGGCCAAGCCCGTAGGAGAGGATGCGAAGGTTTTGCCTTCTAAGCAGGAGAAGACAGAAGTCCGCGTGCCGCGACCGCAGGTAGCAACATCAGAGCAGCGGAAGGGTAAGGTAAGAACCAAGATTTTCGTTTTCTCCTTTACTCATTCTCTCTCTTTCCCCCTTCTTTCTCTGGGAGGATAGCTGGTATAAAGATGAAAGCTAGCCGCAAGGCACAATGACACGGGACAACGTCCGTCTTGGACCATCGGCCCGTGGCCCCTGATTTCTATTTATCATCATAGTTACTCTGAATACCAAGCGACTCAGCCTCAGCTTCTTCACTCACTGCGACTGGCTTACACCGGCCTTTTCATCTGTAAAGCTGACTTATCGCTAATTCGTTCGTAATATAGAACACAGCAGGGCCTGAGTGGTTTGACCTCCCCAAAACCGACCTGACGCCAGAGTTCAAGAGAGACTGGCAACTGTTGCGCATGCGAAATGTTCTAGACCCTAAGCAGCAGAGAAAAACCCTACGATCTTCTGCCCCTCAGTATTCCCAGGTGGGCAGAATCATTGCCAGCCCAACCGACCCATATAGCGCGAGACTGGGGAGCCGAGAGAAGAAGAAGACGCTATTAGAAAGCATCATGTCCGCACATAATGACACAAAGCTCACGTCCAAGTATTCTTCTATCCAAGAGACGAGAAGAGAAGGACGAAAGGCATTCTATAAATCAGTAGTTGCCAAACGACGGAAAAGAAATTGAACCCCATACCTACCTTCCTATTTACAAAGCGATACCCGGACAAGAATCCACTGCCAATAGTCTAGTACCATAGCATACTATAAGCACATGGAGTCCAAACAATAAATTACAAGAACTTGGTAATTTTTATAACAATACGCGTTCTCATTTTTTTCTTCTTGTTTTGATTATATATGCAGCATATATATGTATAATTTTGCTATTAATTCCATTGTGGTAACATACTCTTGGTCTCATGATCCTGCTTCGTAGCATATAAGTCATGATAATGATAACTACTGAATATAGAAATAGTCGATAGCCAGCGCTTATGCTGTCGTATTGTATTATACCAAAAATTGACATTAACCTATCCTGCCTTCCGCCTTGGCTTCTATCGTCATGGTTAGTATCATGTTTCCATTGATTAGGGTCGTTTTGAATCCGATGGCATCAGAAAGTACTTACCTTTGACCTGCTCAAAAACCTTCAGCATCTTGCGCCGTGCTCCGAGAGCGTTTACACCTCGCTCGTCCAGAGCCTTGTCGTCTAATTCGATCAGGTCTGTCCAGTTCATATCTTTCAGATTGTCCGTGTACTTGTGTAGCCGCAAACTCCGGAGCCAGCTGGGGATATCCTGAAGAAGAGTAGGGTCCGTAGGGTCTTCAGGAGGTTTCGAGCTTCCTCGTCTTCCTCTCGGTGACCGTCCTCTAGCCATGTCAGAGTGGTCCGAGAGGTATCCTTCATGAGTGTTGATTCCTAGTTGACCCAAGCCGACGGGTGACATGCCGCCGGCCATCAATGCAGAACCGTCATATGCGCTAAGAAAGCCGTTGTGTTGAGGTGAAGTAAAATGCGACATGGGTCCCATGCCAGACTGTAAGGGCAAGCCTGGAGAGCTCGGACGAGATCGTTGTCCTCCAAGACTGAGGCCTTGCTGTGCTTGGAGGGCCATCAGCTGATCGCGATTCAGTATTTGCCCGTGTTCATTGATCATGACGACATTGGCGTTGGGAATGTTGATATGCGAGGGAGTAGGAGGCATCTGGTGTTGTGCACTCCCCGGAGCATCGTTGGACCTGGCTCTTCGATATTTGCGAACGTCGTCCAAAGCAAAGCGGTTGTTGACTGTAGAGAGAGCTGCGAGCTTCATTGCTGTCGCGTTGGCCACCATGTCAGCCTGGTTGCCGGAGTTTGTATTAAATGTCGGTGCCATCGGTGTGTTGACCATGGAAGCCCAGTTGCCACTGCTGTTCGCATATGGTGACAAGAGGGGCAACTCCGGCGCAGCTTTGTCACGAGTCAAGGTGGTCGTTTGAAGAGTAGAATTACTCGACAGCTGTGGCCTTGGTGACCTCAAACCTCCTCCAGAGGCTGGAGGCTGTACAAACTGGCCCATTGGGGTCTGAGATGAGCCCGCCTTGGAAGATGCTGCGGGGTCTCCGCCGCTGCCCCATGGCGATGCTGATGAGGCGACATTGCCATCTCTAGATTCCGGAGTGGCAGCCGGGATGCTGGATCCCGTCAGTGCGGCTCGGGGATCGATGGCAACGCTGTTACGGTTCGACGAAGGCGGGTTTCCTGTTTGCTGGGTAAACTTTGCCTTTTCAGTAGCAATAGCTGCTGCGGCATCCGGGAACATGGCATTGATCGTGGAAGCATCGAGGCCAGAGTGTCGCTTGGATGATGAAATAGCCGAGTTGCGAGCGAATGAGTTTCGGGCAGAGTCGACGTTGAGCTTGTTCATGGCATCGCTAAGCCGACTGGACATCGGGTCTTATGAAAAGAAAAGAAGAGGTTAGCTTGCGAATGCGCGAGGGAATTCGGCACGCGAGACTTACCTTTGTCAAAAGTCGCAGGGGAAAGAACACCAGACATGGGGTGATTCTTGCCCATCTGCTGGAGAACTTGAATGAAGAAGCGAATTTGCACCTGGGTGGTCTGCTGAAGCAACGCATACAGAGCAGCAGTGCGCTCGGCCTCACTAAGGACGCGAAACCACTGCTCAATAGCGCTCAGCTCATCCTTGAAATCCTGATCGAGCGTGGCCGCAGCCATTTCTTCCAGCGTCGTCTCGTATTGATCAATGTCCGCAATCCACTGTTGGGCGATCTTGTCCTGAGAATCAATGTCCAGGCCCCCAGGGCCGTGACCCCCTTGTTGCGGTTGGCCATAGAAATCGGATGACGGCCTGATGCGGCTGGCCGGCGACGTCCCTGATATCGCCGCCATGTCGGCAGAGGCGCGCAGCGAGCTGCCAGAGCCAACTGCTCGGGAAGAGGGCGGTCTCAAAGAGGGCGCATTGACTTCAGGGGTGCTATTGCGGTTGCCGGCGACGTGGCTCCCAGACATGTTGAGCATTCTTCGACTGCGTCAAAACGGGGTGAAGGAAAGGGTAGTGAAAAAGAAAAGAGGAAGAGGGGCTAAGGACGGGAGAACAGTTGGCGAATTCCTGCAGTATCCAGCTGAGCAGACGGTTTGACAAGACACGCAAACCGCAACGATGCAAATTATGGCAAGTTACAACATATTCCTCTAACGAACTAGTCGCGCGTTAGCAGACGGGCCACGCTTTTTTTTTTTGTAGCTGACCGAGCCCGAGTCCCTTCCAACAAGGCAAACTGGAAGCTGGCGAGGCTCACCAAGAGGGAACGCACTAGTTGTTAAGCAAGATGGGATGTGTCTGCTTCCAGGCAGGCAATTCAATCCAGCTACCAATCAGCTGTCCGTGAGGGATCGTGTCAAACGCGGCTGAGGAAGGAGGACCTATCAATAAGAAGAGAAATACAAAGGCGACCGGCTATGGGATGCCAGGAGTAAAGAATGAATTGAAACGCCTTATCGAGCGTAGCATAGGACTGGGACTTGTAACTGCGCCTAGCCGCTATTTGCTCAAGATTCAGGCGCCCTTAGACTAGAAGAGGCCATAGCAGACTATCAGGCAGCATGAAAAAGCAAACGTAATTAATGTGGGTAAGAGGGTTTAACTTGGGCAGGATTTTGTTTAAGAAAATAAAATAAAATAAATAAAACTTTATTATATTATTTTAGTAGCTGTATAATTTAGGGGCTCCTATACTTGTATAAATAATAGAATATATGTTTATATGATTCGAATTTTTTTTTCAATATAACATTAACATACTCGTACTTATTCAATATTCCTTGATATGTGTTCATCAGCTCTATGATGGGTATTATGTAATAATAAAATTTCAAGCCCGTTTTTCCTACCAAGTTCCAGCGGCAGTCATCTGGGGGAACTTGACTAGTTCCCCTAGCCTAAGAATAGGCCACGCCTCGCTTACACGCGCAAAGTCCCCTCTTCGCACACACTAGGGCTGGTACCACCCACTCGTCATTTTCCGCACGATCTGAATCTTGACTTGGAAAAATCTCACCGGACAGCACAGTCAAACCACAGCAGCAATGGCCAGTGAGTTTTCCGTCCCACGATTTCGATCTCCCCGTACGGCAGTCGTTAATTCTCGAGTAATTTAGAATCAAAGAACTCGTCCCAGCACAACCAGACGCGCAAGGCGCACCGTAACGGGTTTGTCACCTCTTGGGAAATTTACAAAGTCCGCTGCGTCTAACTCCTTCCAGCATCAAGAAGCCCAAGACTTCGAGATACCCTTCCCTCAACGGAACCGACCCCAAGTTCCGCCGAAACCACAGACATGCTCTTCACGGCACCATGAAGGCTCTGGTACGATTCACCCTTGTTCGAGACCGAAAAAAGTCGGGCAGTCAACTAACTTGATGAACAGAAGGAGCTCAAGGAGGGCAAGCGCGAGACGGCATAAACGCATTCCGATTCAGCAGGTGGTAAAAAAAGGGGATCTTTGCAAAGTTTCAGGCCAACGGCCGCAGCTTAAACCATTAGGCGCGATTTGCGCAGGAATTGATACCTCGCCGGCTTAATAGGAAATGCATCACTATAACGCTGAGATATCGATTGGGTTCCATCTCAATATGAGTTCCAGGTAGACAATTGGTTGTCTAAAATCATGGCACAGTTGCGTGCCCCCTTTGCTGGTTCATCATTCTTTGGTTGACAAACGGTGATTGCTTGTGATCGAAATCTACGCCATTGCTATCGATGTGAAAATTCTACAAACATGTGTCCGATGAGCAACTGACTCTATTGCCCTCTTTTCTTTCCCAACCCATAAATGGCCAGTGCCGAGAGGAGTTTTTATTATTCGATACACTCCATTATGAAACGCTGTGCTGCGGATAGCTATCGACATTACAGCTTCAAGTTTTTTACTAGCAGTTCGTGTGCTAGGCTCTTATGGTTTGTTGATAGCAACGATATAGTTTCGTTGACGAAGATTATATCCTTTAAGAGCTTCTTTCCACCTGCCAACGTATTTGCTTCCAATGCCTTGGTATAGTACTGCAGGCTGAGGTAGCCAATACCAAGCAGCTGAAAGAGCCTCCCCACGTTATAAAACCTCTCGGCTTGGAGTTGTGGCTCGTCCCCCCCAGATTGCACATAGTGGCTTATGAAAGCTTGTCCTTGTAGGAGCAGGTATTGGCGGTTGGTTGACTGTCGCTTAAGGCCATAGTGGACATATGCAAGGCCCAGGCTCAAGTTGACCATGGCATTCTCATGGTCAAGTGACCACGCACGCAGAAAGTATCCTGTTTTCTGCGGTTAGTTCTCTCGCTACCACCCGAGTGAGGCTTGAATGCTTTTCATTCTTACCTATCGCATACGTGTAGCTCGTAGAAGTGAAAAGAATATGGCCGTAAAGCATCAAGAGACATATGTCCATATTCATCTTTGCGGCTGCCGTTGCATCTTGGTCGGGGTCATTATTCCCGGCATTCTTCGTTGTGGCTTCATGACTCATGTCGATTGCTTTAATCTGTCTCAAAATAAATTTTTGGGCTGGTCCAGAAGTGTACCATGAAACAGGTGACTGGCACAACCTGGAGAGCAGTGCAAACATCCGCGAAGAGTCGGATATCCCGCCGTCTCTCATCAAGTGGCGTGCTACTGTAATACATTTCTCTTCGTCATTTGTATTGATAGCACAAACTAGCCCAGTTAATACAACCTCAGCGTTACGGAAAGTTGAATAAGCAGATACATACCACTCCAAGCCATATAAATGGCGAAATTATGATGGGCTGATTGAAATACAGTTGAGTCCCTTGCGGACTCACATACCTGGTATGCTTCTTCGCGACGATGTGCAAGAGACAATCCAATGGCATAATCGAGAAATAAATCGAGCCAGTCATCGAATGATATTCCCTGATGATTATCGAATGCTGGCCCTGGTAAACTGTCTGGTTGAGGAGCAAGAGCTATATCAATCGGTCAATCGTCAGTAACAGCTGGGAACAGAACAATCGCAGATAATTCCGGCAGAATTTGGTGTGGTAGCACATACATCGTTTGAGGCGCTCAAGCATCTGTGATAATTCAGTGCTTGTTTCCTCGTTTGCAAATTGTTCAAGCAGCTCTTTCTTCCCAAGGAAATGAAGGTATTTATCCCAGGTGTAGAATCTCTTGAGAGACCGAAAATCGTCGACGAGTTCCTTACAAGATTCCATCCAGACTGGGATGAGATCATTGGAGCCAGACTTGATCTGCTGCTTAAGACCACGAACAAGCTCATACTGCCGGGAGAGTTTAATTGCGCGTGAACGTTCGTCTTGACGGCGTTTATCAGGGTTGGCAAATCGTTTTGCACGGTATCTCCTAGGAAGGATACGGGCCGTCTGAGTCGGCTTCGGTTTGGCCTGTCTAGGTCCGGCCCGTGGCTGAGCTGCTGCCATGCCTCGTAGACCACGATCTGATATTGAAAATGTATGGAGCTGTTCCTTTGTAGAAGCCTCGCCCGGGGGTTGCCCTTGGGCTTCCTTTAGTGCCATTGCTTCCGCAGCGAGAATGAGAGCCTCTTCATCTTCTCTGGCTTTCTCATACATGTTTGCCAATTCGATACGGGCATCGATGTTGTACTCTTCAGCATCGATGGCCGCGTGGAAACACTCCTCTGCTGTAGATTGCTGTCCAGTGGCCAGATAGCAACGGCCTAACTGAACCAAGAGTGTGGCATCCGCCTCTTCAGTAGAGGCACGAAGTAACTCGAGATATCGGATGGCTCTCTGCGGCTGGCCATACTTGGCAATCTCGCTTGCAAGGTCATATGAAATGAAAGGGAATTCTGTGATGAAGTCGAAGGTACGTGGGTTATCTGGATCCAGCCAAGTCAAGTGTCTCTGTCAATGTTACAGGTTAGATCATGGATATTATGCAAGGGTGGTATGTTTTCTCGGAAGGCCATAGCTTACAAAAGCCTCTTCTTCTTCTCCGAGCCTGAGCCTATACATTGCCAGTCGAGCTCTGAAATCCAGGGGCAGGGAGGGGCCATAAAGTTCGGCGTCAAACATCGAGTCGTGGAAATGAGGCACATGGCTTCTACGTTCGTCATTCTCGTCCCATTCGCAGTCGTCGACTTGCCATTGATCCCAGTATTGCTCCTGGACACGGCCTACGAGCCATCTAGACAATGCTTTCAGTTCGTAAATGGCTTCAGCATATGCACCAGTTGAGGCGAGGAGCTCCACATGGATTCCTATATCGTGCCACGGAGCGCTTGAGCCGTGAAGTGGTGTGTTTTCAATTTCATAGTCAAAATAACGTCGATATGCCATGATGGCGGAAGGCACGGCGGCTTCAGTATTCTTATTGTCAATGCAAGCTTCTGCCAGCTTCCGTACGATCTCGAGGTCATACGGATGATGTTTGAGGACAATGTTATACTCTGCTATCGCAGCAGCTAGATGACCCTGTTGGTGACAAACAGTAGCTTTGCCCAGCCTAGCAGCGAGGTTCGTGGGGTCTGCCCTAAGGGCAGCAGAGTAGCACAACCGCGCAGTATGAAGGTTGCTTGCCTCGTCCTCAGAAACAATGTTGAGCGCAAAAGATGCACAGTCAAGCCACGCAGTAACATCCTTGGGTCGAAGGTGAGCAGCATATACCATGGCAGATAACGCCCTGGCATGCTCGCCTTGCTCGCGGAAGATGGACGATAACGCCGTCCAGGCTTGGTGTGTTTCGGCATTGATTCTAATTACTTCTGAGACCAGGTCCAAGGCTCTCGAGTAGTCTCCAAGAAGAAATGCCTGATTGACTTTGGCCAGCCTTGCCGTAATGTCTCCTCGAGGTTTGGCGGCTTTGCGAGGGCCTCGTGCTCCTCGAGAGCCTCGCCCCCTTGCCACTCCACGTGCCGGAAAGTTCGAATCATTCCCTTCATGGTGAGAATACAAGAACTCTCTTACTGACTGATCAAATTTGGCGATATCACCCTGGAGCTCTTCATAATCAGAATCAGAATCCGACGCATTGCCCCTAGAGGTTTACGGTTAGTGATTTCAACTTTGACGACGTCTCAATCACACTCACCCCGCGGCCGACTCATCCAAGCCATGACTGCTCGACATGGTCGCTGAAACTACCTATGGATCAACCATGCTGTAGTGGCGATGTTGAATCAATGAATTGCATGGCAGGGCTGTATGAATGAAACAAAAGCAGCTGTAAGAATCATATATTGCCATTTTGGGTTAAGTGCATTGCTAGCGTAGTTGCAATCGAAGATTCACCCCACTTCAATTGGCTGCATTGAATGTAGCAGAATCTTTCGCTGCATCCGCGAACCGCCAAAACTCGCCATTTGACATAGCCGGAAGAGGCATTTGGATATGCTCAGACAGAGCCCACTGCGTCTATCGCAACTCCAGGTATGGCCCAAAAGTCTAGGGATTGGAAAGAAGTGTGTCTAACTACAGCATGGTAGGCCTCTGTGCCATGGATTGCCAACACGACCCCGGCATTCGGGTGAGTACTCGAAACCAAGGCAACATGCAGCGTAATATAACGTCCTAACAAGCTCAGATGTTTGTCCAACAAGCCCAATTCGAGAACATATTCTACACCAGCGAAGAAGAATGGCGACAACGAACCGAGTCTACGAAACCCACGATCCCTCCAAGCAATCCATCTTAAGCCATTGAAACGCGAAGCTCAATTCGGCATCCCCTCATGCGATCTACAGCTGCGATCATTTAGCTTGCAACCACTCCAATTCTTCTCAGATTTTGCGCTACGAGCGGCATATTTCCTAGGATTGCCAGCTTCTGGGCCAATAGCGCTTCCGCGGATCACAGAGCGGTGGACTGTACCCAGGAGTCACTTCATCTTCAAAAAATCCCAAGAGAACTTTGAACGTGTGACCCTGAGGCGCATGATTCAAATCAAAGACGGCAACCCTGAAACGATCCAGCTGTGGCTCGCTTACTTGCGCAAACACCAGTTCTACGGCATTGGTATGAAGGCAAATACGTGGGAGTTTAGCACAACAGAGATGTCCAAATCGCTGGAGGAAGTCGAGGCCAAGTCACTCGAGTCGGCGGCTCCTTGGTCGCACCTTGGGCAGACCGGAAGTATCGGCGAATCTGACAAAGTGGTGGCCGACATTTTAAATTCTCGACGGGTTAAGAAAGCCGCAGACTATAACTACCCCATCCACGAGATATCTTAGGAACAATATACCCTTTTAGAATCAGCTTGCGCGAGTTATGGCGAAAGAGATCATTTGGGAATCACCCGCTCTACGTCGGTAGGATGTGGGGAAAAGCATCTGTATTATTATGTTATTGCAATATGTATATCTATAGCAGTTGGGAAAACACAGCCATCAAATAACGTTGAGATATTAAATGAAAGAAAAATTGAGTATAAAAGAAAGAGCAAGATAAAAAGACAGCATAAAATAAATGCCATGTAGAACCCATCGGCGATTTCATAGGAGGTACTCAGGTAGCAGTAGAAGGACATGCGGATTGTGGGGTATCGTAAATGGGGTGTTGCTTATCGATACGTATAGACCTCCAAAAACAACCGGGCGACTTGCAAGTTAACGCAATAATTTCACCTCGGCCTCTGGTATAACTCAAATACGCACACAACAAGGCGAGTTGATGCCAAAACACTTCTCATAATGCTGCTCTCTCGTATATCACGGTCAATGCCGCTGCATTCGAAACTCATCACAAGGCCAATGGTTCGATGTAGGCGATGCATCTGGTCAGCGACATTAGTGAGTTCTGGAAACCATCAGCTGAAAAGAAGGGATATGTAAGGCACCCCAGTTCATCATGTATTGCATGAAGGGGAAGAGCAGCGAGGCTGTTTTTTGCCTAGAGACCTAGTCCCCTTCAATTGGAACTCTACATAGCTTCTATCATATTAACATATTTATCGTAGCTCGCCTGTGCCGCTCGCTTCTTTTTTGGCAAGACGGCTCAGCCAACACGCAGGTAAAGAGGCGGATAAAAATGTAGCGGAGAAGCCCAGAACCAGCCCAACCATTCACGAGGACATCTATACGATACCAAATTTTCTTACTGTGACGCGAATTGTTGCAAGCCCAGTCATAGGATACCTGATACTCCAAGATGCGCACACCTGGGCCGTTGGCTTGCTGGCGTACGCTGGCGTCACAGATCTGGTGGACGGATGGATAGCGAGGAGATGGAATCGCAGAACAGTCGTGGGGACAATCATTGATCCAATGGCGGATAAAATCCTCATGACAGTATTGACAGTATGCCTGGCTATCAAGGGGGCATTGCCAAGTACGTGAAAGCTTTTCTTCACCCTGTGGCTAACGATTATGAAGCTGACCTTGATCAGTCTGGGTTGCAAGCATTATCCTGGGCAGGGATGTTGGGCTGGCTATTTCAGCCATCTACTATCGCTGGATTTCGCTGCCGCCACCAAAAACGTTCAAACGATATTGGGACTTCTCACTGCCATCCGCCGAAGTCCGACCTACTACAATCAGCAAATACAATACTTTCCTCCAGCTGGCCCTGGTCGGTCTCACAACGGCAGCACCGCTGATAAGCGTTGACTTGGCGCAGACGCTTACAATTATGCAGTACGTTCTCGTCTACTAATGGCTTCCTACCCATTCATCGTCATTATAATAGTTTTGTTATACTGATTATTGCAGATATGTGGTGGCCACGACTACGATTTGGAGTGGAGCAAGTTATGTCTTCTCCAAAGATGCAATCAAGATACTGAATAAGCCATAATCCAAGAGCGTGTCATTTTTCAACCAAGCACATAAATATACCTGTAATATAGATTTCACGGGAGGATAATAAGCTTAGAAGGAAGAAATCATTCAAGCAAGACTATAGTACCTACCGTACCTTATTGTGTCTATAATGTGCTAAAATCACACGAGTCATCGTCGACAGCAGTCATGCTCGAGGTGCTGTCTGTCACGTGGCAACGCGCGCACCAGGTGGGTCTAAGAATTCCGCCTCGATCGTTTCTAGCTATGGAGCGTGTGCTCTTTGTTCTATGACAAGCTGCCAATCTAAAGCGTGAACTTACTAAACCTCTTGGGGCTCCTACACCAAGCCATCAGTGCACCTTGATTTGAACGACTAGAGACGCTCTGCGTGATATTTCCAGTACAAGATGAGGTTTAAAATAGAGTATGTTTCAATTCCGTGATGCGCGGCACGTTCACATGAGCTTATGCGGTCCCCAGCGATCTTCCTGTGCTATTTCCTTACCCAAGGATATATCCAGGTATGTGCCCGTCACTCTCATGCACGCCACTGTATAGCTAACATACCCAATGAACAATATGCGTGAGTAAATCATCGTAGCTTCCTTCATGCGGGCTGACTGCTGAAGAACTGTTGCAGTTATATGTGTGATCTGAAAAGTATGGCATGAACCCCGGAGATCTTGATCAAGTGCTCACGGATGCAGAAACCCTCGATGCGGGCGGCCACTGTGTCTTGGAGATGCCGTCAGGAACCGGCAAGACGGTATCACTGATGTCTCTCATTGTCGCATACCAGCAGCACATGCCTGAGAAGCGGAAGCTTATATACTGCTCCCGTTCGTAGTCCTTCACGCAGTCTTGTCGGTTGGTCCATCGATGCTGACCTGATTTGTGTAGGAACAATGTCCGAGATTGAAAAGGCTCTAGTCGAGTTACAGTCTCTGATGAAGTATCGCGCTGAACAGCTAGGCTACGAAGAAGAGTTTCGCGGCCTTGGTTTAACCAGTCGAAAGAACTTGTGTCTCCATCCCTCTGTCAAAAGGGAAAAGAGCGGTTCAATTGTCGATGCTCGTTGCCGAAGTTTGACTGCAGGCTTCGTCAAAGAAAAGAAGGACCGAGGTGAAAACGTCGACGTTTGCACTTATCACGATGTATGTCATCTGCTTCAGCCGGGCGTTATCTGGAGTCTTGAATAACGTGATGTAGAATCTTGATCTCCTCGAACCACACAATCTGATACCGAATGGTGTGTGGTCCTTTGAAGCGCTCCTGCGGTACGGTGAAGAGCATAAGCAGTGTCCTTATTTCACTGCACGGCGCATGGTATGATCGTCTTCATCAATCTTCCTCAAGAATTCCACCTAATATTTGCAAATAGATGGAGTATTGCAATGTCGTCATTTTCTCGTATCACTATCTCTTGGATCCAAAAATTGCGGAGCGTGTTTCAAAAGACTTCTCTAAAGATTGTATTGTGGTTTTTGACGAAGCCCACAACATCGATAACGTCTGTATCGAGTCCCTTAGCACCGACATTACCGAAGACTCGATTCGCAAAGCTACCCGCAGCGCTCAACATCTAGAGCGCCGAATTGCTGAAATGCGAGAGACGGACCAGGAGCAGCTCCAAAACGAATATGAAAAGCTTGTTCAGGGACTTCGTGAAACTGATGAAGCGAGACAGGAGGACGCATTTATGGCAAATCCAGGTAGGCGATGCATTTCCCCTTTGGGTAATCATAGCTAAACCAGTATTGCAGCTCTACCAGATGACCTTCTGAAAGAAGCCGTGCCTGGAAACATCAGGAGGGCAGAACATTTCGTGGCTTTTTTGAAACGATTTCTCGAATATCTCAAGGTTGGCACGCCCATCTCTATGCCCTCTTCCTCTTCTTGACCGCCATACTGATTCACTTCATCCCAGACGCGAATGAAAGTGCGTCAAGTCATTTCAGAAACTCCACCGTCGTTTCTGGCCCATTTGAAAGAGCATACATTCATCGAGAAGAAGCCACTGCGGTTCTGTGCTGAGCGGCTTACATCACTTGTCCGGACCTTGGAGCTTACGAATATTGAGGACTACCAAGCACTTCAAGAAGTGGCGACATTTGCGACTCTTGTCGCAACATACGAAAAGGGCTTCTTGCTGATCTTGGAGCCGTACGAATCCGACACCGCAGAAGTTCCAAACCCTACTCTTCATTTTACATGTCTTGACGCAGCCATCGCCATCCGGCCAGTGTTTGAAAGGTTTTATTCAGTAATCATAACCTCCGGTACTATCTCACCCCTCGAAATGTATCCAAAAATGCTGGATTTTTCCACAGTCATCCAAGAATCATATAGCATGACTCTGGCTCGGAGGTCCTTCCTTCCCATGATCGTCACTCGAGGCAGTGACCAAGCCTCAGTCTCATCAAGCTTCCAAGTCCGAAACGAACCGAGCGTTGTTCGAAACTACGGTAACCTCCTGACAGAGTTTGCAAGAATTACCCCCGACGGCATGGTCGTGTTCTTCCCATCATATCTATACATGGAGTCCATTATTAGCATGTGGCAGGGTATGGGTATTCTCGATGAAGTATGGAAGTATAAACTCATCTTGGTGGAAACACCTGATGCCCAAGAAACATCGCTAGCCCTGGAGACATATCGAACTGCTTGCTGCAATGGACGGGGAGCAATCTTGCTATGTGTCGCGCGAGGAAAGGTATCAGAAGGAATCGATTTTGATCATCAATATGGCCGAACCGTGCTCTGTATTGGTGTTCCGTTCCAATACACCGAATCACGAATTCTCAAGGCAAGACTTGAGTTTTTACGAGAAACGTATCGGATAAAGGAAAATGACTTCTTATCCTTCGATGCCATGCGCCATGCTGCTCAATGTCTGGGCCGTGTTTTGCGAGGAAAAGATGACTATGGTGTCATGGTCCTGGCTGACCGGCGATTCCAGAAGAAGAGAACCCAATTACCTAAATGGATCAACCAGGGCCTGCAAGATGCCGATACAAATCTAAGTACAGATATGGCTGTCAGCAGTGCTCGGCGGTTTTTGAAGACAATGGCGCAGCCATTCCGAAGTAAGGATCAAGAGGGCATCAGCACCTGGGGGTACGAAGACCTTATGCAGCACCAAAAGAAGATGGAGGAGGAGAAGGGAGAGGAGCCCCCGCCTGTCATTTCCAATACACGGCCAGTTCACGGCAGCATAGCTGCGACATACGAGTCTGATTTCGAAGATATCGATCAGGAAATGATGGAGCTGGAAGGCTTTTGAGCAGTTTTGTATCATATGAGCTAGATACAAGTCAGATATCATTAAGAGTTTGCGGTATGCTCACACCAACTCTGTTTAATTACCATCTTTTCCAGGAGTTTGGGAAAATTAGATAAGTCTATACATTAATCATTTGCTAATTATCCACCCCATTGTGCCATTCTATCGTGCCGCGTGTAATTCCGTAAATCGTGTAAACCGTATATCAATCTCCCTCCCAAGTCCCTAAATTTCCCCAGTAGAACTATCAGCAACCGAGAATAACTCCTCCTAAACCCGCCTCGCCCTCAACGCAAAGGCAAAAGAATAGAGCGGAGGCTGGGGTATCAAAGAACAAATGTACCGTGCCAACGCGGTCGAATTAGCCGGCAGCGGGTATCTGGCGCCTGGAAGTCTTGATAGCCCTCATTGCAGGCAGTGTATTCTTCCGACCAGGCCGCCTACCAATCTCAAAGCACAGCATGCGAATGAAATCCGTGTTACTCCAGTAAGAGCTATGAGCGCTCAGCATGTTAAGATACTGAATCTCCAACGGACCGCCGCCAGATCTGAGAAACCAGTCGATCTGGCCATTGTCATTGAGAAGAAACGCCTTTTTCTCGGCAATTTCCTCTCTCGTGAAATCATGAACTTCAAGCTCCAACTGAGAGGGCAAGCGGACGGTGGACGGACGACCGTCGTCGGTTGCCGATGAACTAGGGTTGGCGCCCATGCCTTTGGCAACACTTCGCATGGCATCTCGAATAGACTTTAGAAACGAAGCAGAAGCGGTAGGAACATATGCGGTTCTGAGGCTGGCTGCATATCCGGGATCTACTGCGCCGTTGAGCAAGTAGGCAATCGGATCTTCCTTGGCGAGAATATTATAGATGTTATCGACAGCCAAGCACCCAAACATGCCCACCTCACCACCGATGTTTTCATCCGTGGCATCAACCCTATCCACACCAGGTTTGACGCGTCCGCGCCGTGGTATAAGTGCCCCTCGTTCAAGTAGCAAGAAGAATCCGGTAGGACTGCCCATAAGGAACAGATTCTTCGTATCAAACTCAAAGAACTTGGTTTCCGGCTCTAGGCGAGACAGGTCTAGCTGTGGTGCGACCGTTGGCTGTCGTGACAGGACTTCAACTGCCATGACGCTGCCGAGAGAGTGTGCAACTAGATGGACACGTCCATTCTCAGCAAATCCGGGATTATTCCTGCACCAAAGGCGGTAGACTCGGTTCGCCTCCGACACCAAAGCGGAAATCATCTTTCCTTTGTGGTGAGACATATAGAAAGGGATATCAAACATTACATCGGATATCATGCTCCGTATGGCGGGGATTGTAGTGGGCTCAATGTCCTTCAGGCCGAAAGGCTGAGTGGCGCTCGAATTGTTCGCCTCCATTCCGGTCTGAAGAGCTCCGCCGTCTTCAAAGGACAGTCCTATTCTCCAGTTGAGCGGCAGAACCATGAGCCTGCTCTGGCTGTTGTGTAGAATCTCCTGCACCACAGGACCCTGAAACTCGCTGTCGACTAATCGCCGAAACCCATTGACAGCGTGCGTGAAGTGGTAACTCTCAACTCTCTCGGCTATCTTTTGGCCAATCCCGTGAGCTACGAGCACCAAGTCAGTCACCTGGCTGCGATCTTTATCCGCTTCGCAAGCAGGACAGCTTTCTAATGAGCCGTTGCCGGAGGCGCCATGAGACGCAGACCTTGTGGGCTGTGGTTTTTTCCCCCGATGCATACGCTCCCAACTCAGTCTATCGAATCCCCGAACGACGGGAATGCCAACGTTCGTTCCCCTCATAATCTTTTGGATGGGCCGTCTACCGTAGTATGCAGATGGTTGGAGGCTTGGCTTTAGTAGAAAGGCACTTGTTCGATCTTTGTATATGACATTGTAGCTAGAATAGGCGCGTGGCTGGATGTTTTCGGAAGCGCCGTCGTCTGCTTGGTGCGGTTCAAGATGGCCTTCTGTGGCAGCCTCGCCCTGAAAGCAATATGCGGAACAGAAAGGATGCGCAGATATCACAGGCTCGTCTGGCACAGGGGTATTTCGATAGGCTCCATCGCCTTCCATCGGCCAAAGTCGATAAGAAACCTTTTCTTCTCCGGAAGCTCCAACTTCAATAGCACATCGTATTTCGTCACGCCAAGTTTCGGACCAAGGGCGCAGTTCCTGGTACCCAGCTTCCAACTGATTAGCTACAACTGGTGGGACTGGCAGCATCGTATCTCTGAGAACGAAGTCAGCTGATTGTATAAGCAAAATCCTAATGGAACATACTTGTAAAACCAGGTGCCCCTCGTCACGATAGCAATATCGTTAACGGGGGACCAATATATAGGTTTCATCTGCAGCGTTTGCAACGACACCTTGTGTAATCGGGCCAACCCAACTACGACATCCTTATCCTCGTCCTCGGCATTCAGAACAGCGGTCTCTATCCCAGTTAACTGTTCTGGTGGGATTTCATCGTTCGCCTCAAGGTTTTTATCATCGATCTGCGGGGTTTCTATGGCCGGCTCATCGCTACGTTGTTGTTTTGCTGTTGTCATCTGCTGGGTGTGTTCACTACTCAATACCCGCACAAACGGTCTACCAGAAATCCCGTCGTCACTAGCAGTAACATATCCAGTGGTCCTACGCTCGCGGCGAATCCGAGTCTCGGGAGTGCCGTGAAGAGATGATGTAGCACCATCTGAGAGAGAAATACGGTCAGGAGGGATGCCGCCGTGTTTCTCCCGAGTTAACAAAGGGTGGCGTATCGGTACATGCCGGCGGCTGGTTGAGATACTTCGAAGCTCATGGGGTTGGCTCATGACGGAAATCACATCTTTTACCACCTCATCGACATCGAACACCGGGTTTGTCTTCATCACCAAAGCACAAAATGCCGTATCAAACTCTGCTAGGGCGTCGGCGGCCAGTTGAGGGCAACAGGCGGTGAGTAGAGTTTCTGGAAGCGCCTCGGCGGCTTGAGTCGTTGATCCCCGCGTCTGGCTATCACTATGGATGCGTATATGCTTCGAGGCTAGCTCCTGGATGATTTGGTCGCGCCTCTCCATGTCGGATTTCACAGCGTCCGAGTCAGGCTCTCGGCCATTTCTGATGGCTTCGTGTTGCGAACGAAGGCTCTCTGACATGAGGCCAAGCCATGCCTGTTGTAGCATGTCATTGTCGTCTTGAGAGAATGGGCGAAGCGGTCCCTTCGAAGGTTTCAAGTCCGCGCTGCTGGAGGGAGCAGTGCCAGACAGCGGGTCATCGATGGGATACACGGCCGTGTAAAAGAACTGAGCTTTGACAGCAGGGATTCCATCTTCCTTATCCGCGTCGGCGTCCGCGTCCGGGGTTGGTCGAAGGCGACAGGCAGGGCCTAGTGAATGCTCCATGAATGCGCGGAGATGGACATCTAGAGGGGTTTGGATATAGAAGCGGGAAAGGCCGGCTCTCGCCTGTGGCCCGCGTCATGATGCGAGGCTTGCTGGTTTTAAACACTCAAAGGAGCTGAAGGGGGATCACGATCCTAGCGCGCGAAAGCACATGGGCCAAAGGGAGCTGGGCGAGTGGCTATTATGACGTGGCTCACTAAACTACGGAGTACTACATACATGCGCTACTACTAAGTATGCAGGTAGCAGCCAAGAGCAATCGGTTAGCGGCAGATGCCTGCTGGTGTAGTGACATGCATCGCTGTAGGCCACCTGGTGTGAATTGCTGCAGTACAAAGTGATTTCATGAGGCTGCCATTACTCCGTACATGGTACTTTACTACCTGGCAATGTAGGCACAAAGATAACGAACTACCTACTAAGTATTGAGGCACCTTGGGTTTTTAATATGAGATTAGACTTTCTCAACAATCATCAATATGCTTTTCCTCTGTTTTTATGCTCCATCGTATACCAAAGCTTCAATCCATGGCCCTGCTTATGTCATCCTCCTTGATTGGCACTAATATCGGCGCTAAGCTTCTCGGGATCGCACCGTCCACCGGAACGCTGCGCCTGTCTTGTGACACTGGTGCATGATAAGCAGGGGCTTCGTCCATTATCCGGGGCGCAGCGGCTCTCTTTCATCCCTCGCCTCGTCTGTCTCTTCTTCTCCTTCATCTACCTCCATCCTCTTACCCAAATCTCGCCATTTCGACATCAATCGCCCCAATCTTGCGCCGCTCATCATCAAAACTCGACATCTTCGCTCGAGCCACGTCGCCCAAGATGGCGATTTCTCGCGGCACCGTCCCGTTTCTGGTGGCCATGATGCTGCTGACGGGTGTCTGCAATACATTGGTTACCAAGTATCAAGTACGTGCTGAAAGGCTGTCGCTGGGGCTTTGGGAAAACCCCTTGCTTCACAGTCGACCATTCTTTGATTCGGGTAGCCTAACAGGTGCCATAGGATAAGCAATGTGTTCGCAATTGCGAGGATGAGAATCCCGCTCGCCATGTCTTCTTCAACCAACCCGTGCTTCAGACGGCGCAGATGTTTGTGGGCGAGATGGGCTGCTGGCTCGTTGTGGGCGCTGCCGCGGCGTATCGCCGTCTTGCATCAAAGAAATCACCTGCAGAGCGTGGCTACCAGGCCATCAATTCCAACCGAACCGATGGTGACGACGACGACACGCTTGAAGACGACCAACCATCAGTTTTACGGGGCTACCGAATTCTGCTGCTGGCTCTCCCTGCCATCTGCGACATCTGTGGCACCACCTTGATGAACATTGGCCTCCTTCTTGTTGCTGCGTCTATTTACCAAATGACCCGGGGCGCGCTGGTCCTATTCGTGGGCCTGTTTAGCGTCATCTTTTTGCGGAGGACGCTGCGTCTATTCCAGTGGATGTCATTGGTGGGCGTGGTTCTTGGAGTAGCCGTCGTTGGACTTGCTGGTGCCATTTGGCCGGACGTCAAGGCACATGTCGTCTCCTCTATCACGGATTCCCCAGAGGGGCTATCCGACGTTGCCAAGGCAGTCATTGGAGTTTCACTGATTGCCGGGGCGCAAATTTTCACGGCCACCCAGTTTGTCTTGGAGGAGTGGATGCTCGAAAACTCCCCCATCGACCCCATCAAGGTGGTTGGCTGGGAAGGCCTCTTTGGCTTCGTCTGCACAGTTGCGGTCATGATTGTTTTGCACTTAGCCATTGGACGGACAGAAGCCGGTCGATATGGCTATTTCGATGCCGCTGAAGGCCTTCGCCAAATGTGGGATGAGAAGGCCTTGCTCATTTCTAGTGTCATTATCATGATCAGCATTGGGTAAGTTGGAATGCTCTTGACCAAGTGACATTGAATCTGTCTAATACCATTAATAGTGGCTTTAACTTCTTTGGGCTGTCCGTTACTCGCACCGTCAGTGCCACCTCTCGCTCCACCATTGACACTTGCAGAACGCTCTTCATCTGGGTCGTTTCTCTCGGTCTTGGCTGGGAATCTTTCAAGTGGCTGCAGATTGCTGGCTTTGCTTTGTTGGTTTACTCTACATTTTTGTTCAATGGCCTCGTGCAGCCACCATTTGAATTTTTGCGTTCCGACGCAGAAACTGAGGAGCTTCTCCCTGAAGAACCGATCGAGCACCAGTAAATCTTACCGCAAAGATGCTTTCGGCAGATAACAGATGTATTGCTGCAACTAAGACTGATATTTTGTGCAAGCTTGGCGGGTTTTGTGGCGTACCGGCAGGTGCCTGGGTGACTTGGAATAGGTTATTATTCGATATTCACGTTTTCTCGTAGCGAATTTAATGGGAAGGGTCTTAATACATAACATGTCTATATTCGGCTCTTGAAATCATCACTCCAGCCCAAGGATGCTGCTTTGTCTGAAACTAACTACTAAACGCCTTATTGAAGCCAAAAAAAAAAAAAACAAGAAGGGAAAATAAGAAGGGCCCATCCTGATGAAATCATGCTAAAGAGGTGAAATCGTACAATCAAGCGACATTACATAGCAGCTCAGCTTCGAGGATGAACTTGCCCTCCTTGTACTTTTCTGAAGTCTCAAAAGCCTTGTCGTACTTCCAACCCACCGTTTCTTTGCACTGATGGCAGGCGATATCACGGACAATGTGGCGGCCGGTGGTCATGTTACGCTCATTAGGGTCACCGGTGTCGATATTGACGACACGATGGAACAGGTAGGCCTTGCCATGCTGACCCCGGAAGTTCTATGTTGTTTGCGCATTCTCCAGTTAGTTTCCCAGCATCGAGGCGACAGGACAGGACGGACACGCATAAATGCAGGCATGAGGTTCATGTTCAGGCTCAGGCTCAGGTACAAGGCACAAGGCACAGGCATGGCGGGGGAGGTAGATAACGCACCCGAGAGATGATGTCCTCGTGGTTAGCAAGATGCGCCTTGCATGTCTTGCAACCGTAGATCTTGTTGCTGGTGAGGTAGGTGTTGTAGGCCAGGCCCATTGCTGCGGGAGACTGGGTGAGCCCAAGCTTCAACAGTTTCTCGTTCTTTGTTCTTTGTTTCTTCACAGCGCCGCGATTTCCAACAGAGCTTGCGGCGACGATATCGCTGCTTGGCGGTCGGAGATGGCAGTACCGTTTTTTGGGCCTCTTGGTTTGTGACACGGATTCGGGTCTTTTTAAACCGCTGGAGGATAGAGAGAACAAGGCCGAGCGAGTGGTGGAGAAAACAACAAGGGGAGCTGGTGCCTAGTCCAGAGAGAGCCGCTGCAGCGCAAGGTATTGGAAATATATACAAGTACGAGCCCACGACTACCCAAGTAAGGTCGGATGCCGCAATGCGCGCGCCTCGCAAGTCACCGGATCACACTATCAAGCACGGCGGAATGCGCCGGCCTTTTCCCGGGGCAACAAACGGCGCCGCTTCTGGGTGCCTGTTTTTGGGTGTAAGTTTTTCGGCTGCCTTGGGAGGGCATGTCATTCATTGCGTAATTGTGCTCGTTCGTTTCCGGTCCATCTGCCCGCTATTGTTACCACCTTTGCTGCATTAGCACATGTCACCACAAAGGGCAGCAGTGGGTGTATCAGCAGATGCAGACCAGATACCCTGAATATATAATAGTATTACTTAAATATTGCATATGTCACGCGTCGTACATCTGGACAGGCACCGGCATGTTTCAATAGTTGCTTTGTTTGAGACTCGCTGGATATTCATGTTTGTATGTATTAGGTATTGACGTACCCCACCAAAAGCCATCACTCATCATGAGATGCCTTTGGCTAGAGACCAGAAGCTGTCCATCTTTGCGCGAGCCAAAACTTCCCTCGCCTCTGCATCCGTTTCACAAATCTTGCTCCCCCATTTCTTGAAGCCTCTCGCTTTCTGCTCTCCCTCGAATACTAGCTTGCACTCGTTCAGAGACATGTCCTTCAAGTCTCCATTGGAGTCCTCTGGCGATAACCAGTCTCGCCCAGCCACATTATTTTTCTCGGGGTCTCTTGCCTGAGCGTTTTCTGTCCAGTTGATGCGGTTCAGCATGAGCTTCTTGTACTTCTTAATGCTCCACTGTCCGCCTTCCACAATCACCAAGCTAAACTTGGGATGCATAATGCATGTTCCAGAGAGTGCCAGCTGGTCAGCGTTGCGCCATATCTTGTAGCGGTGCTGGCCATTGGCGAGGCTTGTCACTTTGAATACGAGGACGTGAATGCCCTTGTCGGCATCTTGTTGCTGGTTTGCCGCGTTCTTCTCGTGCTTTTGCTCCTTTGTCAGTTTCCGTGCCTCGTTGGCTTCGATGTGAGTCTCGTATCGTTCGGCAATCTCTCGATTTACTCGAGCCTCAACGGCGGTGGGATCTTTGACAGCAGCTGTGAAAGGCCAGTTAGCGCACATAGCCCCAAAACGAAGGTCTGTAGGAAGATATTGGGATACATACCATCGCCCAGCACTCGCATGAGATTCCCCTTCTTCACCTTGGGTGGCGGTGCCGGCACCAGTCCAAGTCGGATTTTGGCTTGCATCTCCTTGAGCTCGGCCATTCTTCGCTGGCGTCGTATCTTTGCTTGTTCTTTCGAGGTCAGGTACATGGGCTTTGCCGTTACAGCTTGTCTCTCCTGAGGGGGCTCGAGTGCAACCGGGTGTTGGATGTACTCGGTCACTATGCTATCAGGAGTCGTGATTTTGAGCTTCGAAGGGTCGTCGATATCGTTGTAGGTCTGCCCATCCACTAGGCCTTCATCCCACCATTCTACATCTGGGGGAGCGTCCACGACAAAATTCTTTTCCACGTCAAGATCCTCGTCAATGCCGGCTTTGCGAGTTTGCTCCGCGATACGCCGTTTCATGGCCTCCAGGGCCGCCTGTCGACGCAAAGCATTGCCCTGCTGTATGTATTTTCCTTTCTGGTTGAACGCCAGTTGTCGAGGCATCCGCTGCCTCCCAGTCGGTTCTTGCGCAGCCGCCTTGTCGTCGAAATATGGGTTGGGCCCATCTCTCAGCCGTTTCCCGTGTGAATCTTGTGCGCTTCCTCTGTCGAATCCATTGGTATGCGATGGTGAGCCTCGTGATGAGTGGGATTGGCCATTTGTCGTGTCTGACTTGCCAGCTGGTTTCCAGGAGCCCAAATCTTCCAGGGCGGGATGCAGTCCAACATTCAAGCCACCCTTTGCCCTGCTTGCGCCGACAGCGGCTGCCACGCGGGCTTTGAGTGCAGCCATCCTGTCCGCAGCAGTTTCTGTCTTTTGTATTCTTGAGGATCCATCGTGATGGGGACCCAGCCCTCCAGGCGATTGACTCATGAGGAGAGGCGGCTGCTAACGCGCAGCAGGACGATGTGTGTGTAAATCCGTACGAAATCCCAACGGTTCTGTTTCTCTTTGCCCCTGTCTCGTTCTCTCGTTCAGCCTGCCGTCGTGTCTCTAAGGTTCGTAAATCGTAGGATCGGTATAGAAAAGCAAGGCTCCACCAGAAATGAGATGCGGCACTAGAACTAGCAAGGCAGATAAAAGCGATAAAAGCGATGGAGCTGGGAAGAGTCTGACCAGCTCTGCCACTCTGTGCTGCATTAGCCCGGCAACCTTGGCTGTGGGGATTTCCATCCTACCCACCACTTCACTAAAATTTTGCCGTGTTCCACCGCCAAAAAATTCTAGTGGCACTAGCAACTCTCGCCAATTGACCTATTGTAAAAGATTGGCATGGCCTCAGCAAGCTCGCCAGGATCAGTCCATTCCTCAGCCAAGATCCTGTATTCGCCATGAATATTGCGCAGCCAGTTGCCTCCGAGGTGGAGAGTGTGGAATTCACATTTCTCTCTGCCAAGGAGATTCAGGCCATCTCCGTGAAGCGCATCGAAAATGAAAGCACTTTCGATAACCTTCTCAATCCCGTACCTGGCGGCCTGTACGATCCGGCTCTGGGCTCATGGGGAGACGCACCGTGAGTATTTTGTTATTTTAGTCACAGTATCAAGGCTTCTAAATTATCTGCTAGATGTGCTACTTGCAACCTAAATCAATCGAGCTGTCCGGGACATCCAGGCCACATCCAACTCCCAGTCCCCGTCTACCACCCAGTTTTCTTGGACCAGGCCTACCGATTACTTCGCGCAACTTGCGTCTACTGCAAGGGTTTTCGTCTACCACCAAAGGATCTGCACAAATACACCTGCCAGCTGCGCCTACTTCACCATGGCCTTATCAATGAAGCACACATGGTGGGTTCGATTGGGGAGAATGACCTGGCAATAGAGATAAAAGAGGCGCTTGGCGAGGGCGACAGCGAGGCCGAGGATGAAAACTCTGGAGCTGATGGTGTTACTCGGCAAAGAGAAAAATACGTTCGCCTATGCCTTCAGGGTATCAAGGCCAAGAGGGGAGAGGTCAAGAAGGGAAAGCATGAGGGTGCCAACGAGATGCGCCGTGAAATCATCAAGGAATTCCTCGCCGAAATCATCAAGAAGCGAGTGTGCTCTAGCTGTGGAGGCATTTCTCCAACCTATCGAAAGGACCGGTTTGTCAAAATCTTCGAAAAGTCCCTCTCAACCAAGGAAAAGGCAAAGATGGCGCAGAAGGCCCTCAAGTGGGGTGATGCCATGACCCGAGTCCACCATCGCAGATCAGCAACAACGAAGAAGTCTGATGGCAAAGGCGATGTTACGCAAATCAATGGCTCAGAAGAGTCTCCAGAAACCCAGGATATCGAAATGGGAGATGCAGAAGACGGTTTTGCATCTGAAGAGAGCTCTCAAAGATACATCAGCTCCATGGAGGTGCGGGCACGACTCGAGGAATTGTTCAGGAAAGAGCAAGATCTTCTCTCACTCGTATACAACGCCAAGCCTCCAACCCAGAGCTCACCAAATGTTACTCCCGACATGTTCTTCATCACAGTTGTCTTGGTGCCGCCGAACCGTTTCCGACCCGAGGCTCGGACTGGAGATTCACAAATATCCGAAGCCCAGCAGAACGCCCTTTACAAGAACATTCTCGGCTGCTGCTCAAGCATTGCTCGTGTCTACAACGAGAAACGATCAGACATCACAAGCATGCACCAAGCGTGGACGGAGCTTCAAGACGCGGTGAATTCACTCATCGACAAGAACAAAAACCCTGTGCAGGGCGCCGCTGCCGCGCGAAACGAAGACGGAATTAAGCAATTGCTTGAGAAGAAAGAAGGTCTTTTCCGTAAGAACATGATGGGAAAGCGAGTCAACTATGCCGCCAGAAGTGTTATTTCTCCCGATCCCAACATCGAGACCAACGAGATTGGTGTTCCTCCGGTGTTTGCAAAGAAATTGACGTATCCTGAGCCGGTCACCAGCCACAACTTCAAAGACATGCAACAGGCAGTGATCAACGGCGTAGACAAGTGGCCGGGAGCCTTTGCCATTGAGAATGAAAATGGCCAAATAGTCAACCTTCGCAACAAGTCCGTAGATGACCGCATATCTCTTGCCAACCAGCTGCTGGCGCCAACAAATAGCAGCGCAGCTCGCATGAAGAACAAAAAGGTCCATCGACATCTCACTAACGGTGATGTCGTTCTGATGAACCGTCAGCCTACACTACACAAGCCGTCCATCATGGGTCACCGAGTCCGCGTTCTGCCAGGCGAGAAGACGATTCGAATGCACTATGCCAACTGTAACACCTACAACGCAGACTTTGACGGCGACGAAATGAACATGCACTTCCCGCAAAACGAGGTAGCACGTGTAGAAGCGTTGCAAGTTGCCGACACCGACCACCAGTACTTGTCTGGCACTGCCGGAAAGCCCCTGCGAGGTCTGATTCAGGATCACATTTCCGTCTCAGTCTCGCTCTGCAGCCGAGACGCTGTTTTCACGCGGAGTGACTTCCAACAGCTAATCTACAGTGCCCTCCGCCCCGAAAGCGGCCACATCTTAGGAGAGCGAATTCAGCTTCCGCCGCCAGCGATCATCAAGCCCGTGGCGAGATGGACGGGAAAGCAGGTCATCAGCACAATCCTCGCCAACATAAGGCCGCCCAACTGCGGAGGGTTGACGATGAATGAAAACGCCCAAATCAAGGCCGAGCAATGGGGTACATCGTCGGAAGAAGGAACTGTCTTGATACAAGATGGCGAATTCGTAACAGGAATTCTCGACAAGTCTCAGATTGGACCTAGCTCAAGCGGTTTGATCCACGCCGTGCATGAGATATACGGACCTTCAGTCGCCGGCAAACTCCTTAGTAGCTTGGGCCGGCTGCTTACAAGATATCTCAGCATGCGAGCCTTTTCATGCGGAATGGACGACTTGAGGCTAACGGCGGAGGGAGAGGCGGCACGACGGCGAGAACTTGTTGCGGCCGACAAGATGGGTCTAGAAATTGCGTCAAAATATGTCTCCCTAGACAAACAAGAAGACTCGCAGAATCCGCTCCTGCTTGAGCGCCTTGAAGAAGTCATGCGTGACGACAGCAAGCAGGAAGGCCTCGATCTCCTGATGAATCAGGGCACCAAAGACATTACAGATGCCGTGCAAAAGGCGTTGATCCCCAACGGCCTTGAGAAGAACTTCCCGAAGAACCAGATGCAGGTCATGACCACGTCGGGTGCCAAGGGATCTCGTGTCAACGCCTCCCTCATTTCCTGCAACCTGGGACAGCAAGTTCTGGAGGGTAGACGTGTCCCAGTCATGGTTAGCGGAAAGACTCTGCCCAGCTTCCGGCCGTACGATACAAATATTCGAGCGGGTGGTTACATTGTCAACCGATTCTTGACTGGTATCCGACCTCAAGAGTATTACTTCCATCACATGGCAGGACGTGAGGGTTTGATTGACACGGCCGTCAAGACATCACGTTCAGGTTACCTGCAGCGTTGCATCATCAAGGGAATGGAGGGCCTGACAGTCTCTTACGACACCTCGGTAAGAGACGCAGACGGTTCATTGATTCAGTTCCTGTACGGTGAAGATGGATTGGACGTCACAAAACAAAACTACTTGAAAGACTTCCGATTCATCCTGCAAAATGTTACCTCGGAGGCGGCACAACTCAAGTACGACCCCAAGGTTGGAGAACGCCTCGGCGCCAACCGACAGGCGTTCCAGAAATACATGAAGAGCGCCGTTCGACACGCCAAACTCAACGATCGAAAAGGAAAGGATCCCCTCACGGCCAGCTTCGATCCCGCCACCAACGCCTTTGCAACTTCAGAAACGTTTTACGAGGCCATGACGGCTTATCTCAATAACAACGCCGATGGACTTGTCCGAGAAAAGAACAGCCAAGACAAGACGTCTCTTAACCAGGTGAAGCTGAACAAGAAGAACGCAGAGATGCTTTTCGCCATGAAGTATCTCCGGTCGCTGGTGGAGCCTGGTGAGGCTGTGGGCATCGTGGCTGGCCAGTCTATCGGTGAGCCGTCTACGCAGATGACGCTGAACACTTTCCATTTGGCCGGTCACTCGGCAAAGAACGTCACTCTGGGTATCCCCCGTCTGAGAGAAATCTTGATGACTGCCAGTAAGACAATTTCCACACCTGCCATGACGCTGTATCCAAACGCCGAGCTATCGGAGCAGGATGCCGAAGTTTTCACAAAGTCCATCAGCGTGCTGCGCATGAGCCAAGTACTGGATGGAGTCGTCGTGGAGGAAATGGTTGGCAAGGGCAAGCTTCGCGGCCTCGCCAAGATCTACAAGATTAAGCTCAAATTCTTCCCAGCTGCAGAGTATTCCGCCACCTATGCAGTTACGGTGTCGGACATCATGGGCACAGTAGAGAAGAAGCTTCTGCGAACTATCCTCTCCATCATGAAGAGGGAGGTCAAGAAGCGTCAATCCCAGTCGACAACGGCGACTCCCGAGATTGGCGTCAAGGCAGGAGTTGTTGAGATGGCCAGGCCCGAGGGAGCAGCAGAAGGTGGTCGAGATGACGATGACGACGACGACGATGAAGATGACGACGACGCCACCGGTGCCAAGAAGCGAGCGAACCGCAGCGAGGCTGTTTCTTATGGACCTAACGATGATGACGATGACGCTATTCAAAACGACATGTCCAAGGGAGCGGAAGACGATTCGGACGACGAGGACGCGGACAATACAGCATCACAGAACAGGAGCGAGGAAGATGATGAAGACGACGAAAACAAGGCCCCCGTGTCATGGTCAGCCAAGGTGCGGGCAGAGCGCGTGCTCAATGCCTACGCGGAAGTAACAGGCTTCCAGTGCGATGACAAGGGCGGCGAGTGGTGCAGCGTGACGCTCGAGTTTGACGTGAACATTCCCAAGGTGCTGATGCTCAACATTGTCGAGGACGCAGTCCGCCAGACGGTGGTGCAGCAAGTTGCCGGCGTCGGATCGTGCATGGTGACTCAGGAAAAGAACGAGACGGTCATCAACACGACAGGCGTCAACCTCCGGGCGATGCAGAGATACAGCGACTTCATCGACCCGCACCGAATCCAGACCAACGACATTGCGGCGGTGCTGGAAGTCTACGGCGTGGAGGCCTGCCGCGCCAACATTGTGCGAGAGCTGTCAGGCGTCTTCGGAGGCCACGGCATCAAGGTGGACAACCGACATCTCAACCTGATTGCCGACCACATGACGAGAGGCGGCGACTTCACGGCCTTTAGCCGCATGGGCCTCAGGGGCAACGTCAGTCCCTTTACCAAGATGAGCTTCGAGACGACGCTCGGGTTCCTCAAGGATGCCCTGCTGGACGGCGACTGGGACGATCTGACGACGCCGAGCAGTCGTCTGGTGATGGGCAAGCTGGGCAGAGTAGGCACCGGTGGATTCGACGTGCTGACCCAGCTGCCAACTTATTATGTCAACTCATTAGCGTAAAACGGATGTGTCTTGGGAATCGTGTGCACGTATCTATCTGCATGCAAAATGGATGAGTGTGTATTTAATTTAACTACATAGAACTAGGATTTTTTTTAAAAAAAAATGGTAGAGACGGTAATGTGATTGAGATTCCGATGCTGGCGGTGATACCCGACCGATGGCGTAGCCGAGCGATTGCAGTGAGATGATTGAAGCCTTGGGTGCGGGATATTTCGCGATGTTGTCGCAGGACGGCGGTTGCGCTTCTTCGGTGCTGGGCCGACGCGGGCGCGCCACTGGCCACGGCGATTGAGTCACGGCACCAGAGATTTAGCACCTACGTAATCTCGAGATGCGGCATCGCGTTTACCACGGGAGCGCGTCTTCCATCGGTGTTGCTGCCTAAATGCTGAGCAGACTGCGCGGTTGATGATGCGCGGTTTACAGGCGATGCACGATAAAGACATTCACAGCGGATGGGACGAGATGTAAAGTGATGCAGTTATTATAGTTCGTTAACCCGTGAGGCCGTGAACCTCGTTTGCATTTATGCAGTGCTCTTTTCCTCGATGCACTGGTAATATACATTCCGAACCATAAAGGGGAATAAAAACTCTCATTTGTAACGCCTGATTATCCCTTGACCCCAGAAACACTCGTGTGAAAAGCAAAAGTCATGTCTGCAACGTTCCTCCCAAAGTCTCCAACTTAGTTGCGCTCACCGCGGAGGCGGCGGGCGAGCTGGATGTCCTTGCTCTGGATGGTGACACGCTTGGCGTGGATGGCGCACAAGTTGGTGTCCTCGAAGAGGGAGACGAGGTAAGACTCGACGGACTCCTGGAGGGCGCCGATGGCAGAAGACTGGAAGCGGAGATCGCTCTTGAAGTCCTGGGCAATCTCACGAACCTGTTTGATGGGAAGTGTTAGAGACGCGACGATCATGATGATTGGTTGTTGATGGGTGTTGATGTGCTTACCAGACGCTGGAAGGGGAGCTTGCGGATCAGGAGCTCAGTCGACTTCTGGTATCGTCGAATCTCACGGAGAGCGACGGTACCAGGCTTATAACGGTGAGGCTTCTTGACACCTCCGGTGGAGGGAGCGCTCTTGCGGGCAGCCTTGGAAGCGAGCTGCTTGCGGGGGGCCTTGCCACCAGTGGACTTACGGGCGGTCTGCTTGGTGCGGGCCATGATGAGTTGTGATGTGAAGACTGTGAAGATTGATGCTTGGAAAACGCTTTGTGTGGGGCTGAGAGAAGATGGCAGTGTAGAAGGGAAAACACTCCGAGAAGCGGGCGGGGGGAGATGCTTTAATAGTTGAGCCTAGCGCACGCCTGAGGTGGCGGCTGATCTGGGTTGCACGCTTGGACCGTGCGCGGGCGCGTCAGTAATAAGAGGCAGAGAAAGAAAAAAAAAGGGAACCTGTTAGCCGTTTGGGGGAAAATAGCAGCAGCAGAGAGAGCAGAAAAAAAGGGAGCGTTAGCGCTTCTTTTTTCCTTGTCCCCCCCTTCTTTTTTTTTCTGTGGAACGTCAGGGCGCCCCCACCTGCAGCGCCGAAACGGGCGAATCCAGGTTGGCTGATGCGGAACCGGAAGCTGCGAGGAGGGTGCCGCAAAAAAAAAAAAGCTGAGCGCGTTCCTTTTTTCTGATTGGCTGGAGGGAGGATTGTTTTTTACGATCGCAGCCTAGGTTCGATTTGCGAGGTACCGAGTGCATGTAACTGCGTGGGAGGCAATCTTCAGCTGTGATGCTTACCCTGGATGTGAGATGCACGATCGGGGGCAAGTGGTGATGGCGTCTAGATGGGTGGAATACGGGTAGATGACAGTTTACGTATGGTGTATGGGTTATTTGGTGATGTGTTTTGTATTTTGAGATGTTTGCACTATGCGTTTCGACGTTGATTTGTTGGTTGGTGTTGAATATTGATAAAATACTTGAAAGCCGTCGTTGGATTTACATGGCACCACCGTTTAGTCTTTGGTGTAGATTTGGTAACACTCCTCAACGTGCAGTGCAAACTCTAGATGACGCAAAACATGCCAGTGGATAAAGTGAAACTACGCCTCAAAGACTACTACGGTGACATGTGAAGGCAAACAATGGATAGGACTAAAAATAAACGTAAACGGTGTTTGAGGGCAGATGGACCCATGGCGATGGAGTGCTTGTGATGGAGCAACTCAATGTCAACCCATGGTCTACATGTAATTGCAACATCATCACCATATAATTCAAAGTACTCCTACTACAGATGCCAATACATCCTACAGGTGCTTGGACGCCCCCGTGATTCGATAGACGAAGCAACACAGGCACCAGCCCAATCAACTTCAATGCTACTCCATAATACTCTCCTCCCCTTTGTGTCAAACAGATCAGATGCACCAAATGCAACTTGCTCGCATGGGCACCAGACAAAACAAGCCTAGACTCACCCATTAAAAACCAATAAGAGATAACACGAAACCAGCCCATCCAAGGCATCCAAAGCTCGTGATTGGGACGTGTCTTGTCTTGTTTACCTTTTTTTCCCAGCCCGCCCCACTCATCCTTTCCCGCGCCAGTACGTACCGTGTTTTTTTTTTCTTTTCTTCCTAACAGCATCGCCCTTATTTTCCTCCTTTGAATCACTTACCCAAAAAAGGCCCACCAACGCACCACGGCCCCCGTTTTTTTTTTCCCTCTCCATAATCGATCAGTGATCTGGGCCGCTGCTACTTAAACTGGCGTGTTGCCACACTTTGCCTTTTTCCCCTCCCCTCTTTTAGGTACGACTTACTGTTTACCATCATCTGCATCTCTTTTTGATATCTCAAAAACACCCCAAAACAACCCACATCAATCATCATGACTGGACGTAAGTAACTTCTATTTTTACTTGCCTCATCCATGCTGGCGACGTCGGTCCATCGCCGTCGCTGTCCCCGGCTTTCAGCTGCTGTCGCCTTAAGCCTTGCGGCTTGCATGGCGCTTTAGCCTTGAAGCTTCAGCCTCGGCCTTGACGCGTCTGCCAGCTACCACCATCGCCACTTCAAGATCAACTTGACTGACATTCATCGATACAGGCGGCAAAGGTGGCAAGGGCCTCGGCAAGGGTGGTGCCAAGCGTCACCGCAAGATTCTTCGTGACAACATCCAGGGCATTACCAAGCCCGCTATCCGACGTCTCGCTCGTCGTGGTGGTGTCAAGCGTATCTCTGCCAGTAAGTTTCCGCTCATCGACATGCCACTCTTGAGCTTGACACAAGTGTCTAACGTTGTCTTCCCTTACAGTGATCTACGAGGAGACCCGTGGTGTCCTCAAGTCCTTCCTCGAGGGTGTCATCCGTGATGCCGTCACATACACCGAGCACGCCAAGCGCAAGACCGTCACATCACTAGACGTTGTCTATGCCCTGAAACGACAGGGCCGCACCCTGTACGGTTTCGGTGGTTAAGCGATCTGCCACTAGGTCGGGTCGACATAATGTGTTATTCGCGTGTTTGTTACGATTGGGCTTTTCACTATGGGCGCGGGTCATTGCTTTTTGAGATTTTGTACTGTACAACGTACTGGGAAACGGGTGACTTCCGAAAGGGGGTAATTGAGAACTTATCAAGTGGTGACCTTGAAATAAAGCATCACATATACTCTACAAGTAAAACTTTTCTGCCTGACTGTGAACAAGACTTTGCCTTTCCTAATTTGTGATGACGGCGAACGCGTGTGACTCAACTCCGCCGCCACGTCTCTGAAATGGAGATGGGGAGGCGAAGAGCTGTGTTGTTCCCGTGACGCGTGACGCGTCGTTGCTGTCTGAATGTCCAAATCGCCATGCCGAATATGGAGCTTGCCCGTGCCTGTATCGATACCTAAACGAGAGCTCGTCTCCACATGTCCAAGCTGTAGGTACTGTAGTACCTTATAGTAGTCTAGATGGACTCTAAATGCCATGGCTCAGCTTGCAACCAGCCACGTTACATGAGTTGCTATGCATACTACGTGTATAGGTACTTGTTCTGTAAGTGTACGTCCTGTATGGCAATACGACGTTCGGGACTCATGCAAGTGTGCGGATATTGGAAATAGTATCGGGTGTCATGTACTGCAAGGGCTCGATATAAGAGCCCAATACGGAGTATATGTGATAGCCCAATATGCAAGATCCAATATATTCGATGCTACAGCTCACGGCACATTCAATTTTGTGACTCATCAACATTCTACTCCCCTACCTAAACGCCCAGCACCCTCTTGTAAAAGAAGGGAAAAAAAGACCCGGTGGGTTTATTGGGCTTGAATCACCCAAAACCGACCACGTTAAAACAGAGAGTGGTTCGAGGTGTCATGTGGTTGGCCGCTTATGCGCTTCGCCGGGGGTCTAAGGCTCTCAAGGCTGTCTTTCTATCGCAACTCACAATCCTATCACGAGCGCGAAAAAAATAAATGGTAGTGGTAAAAATATTACCCGACGATATGCGATTGGGTTCTGATGCCTCTGCCCCTACATTGCCTACGAGTACCTAAAAGAAGAAGAAAAGAAAAGGGGGAGGAAGGAAAAGAAAAATTGAATAGGCTGCCAGCTTTGCTGTCCAATGGAGACACTGGTCCGGGGTTTTTTTTGGGAGTGACACGCAGCGTCAAGTTTGGCATTTACTAGCCAGACACCCTCCTGTCCGAATTTTTCAGGATGCATCTGTACATGCATTTTTTTCTTCCCCTTGCATCCTTGCACAGCGGAAGAGTAGGGGGTAGGAGAGGATGAAAAAAAAAAAAGAGAGCCAACGCACGTCGGTCGGTTAAAATAGAACGTTCAAACAGCACACACGCAGCTGGAGCCGTGTAAAACAGGAGAAACCAAGACCAAAAAAAAAGGGCAGCACAGAACGCACGTACGCATGCATGCACAAGAGACAAGACGGCACGTCGCAGCTCTACAGGGGGGGAGAGAGGAGGAAAAAAAAAAAAAAAGCTATGCGCTGCAACATGGTCCCAACGGGCCCGCCGATGCAAAAACTCAGACAAAAAAAAAACTGAAATTTTTCGGGCTTTTGCTTCAGAGACACAGGCAAAAAGCCTAAAAAACAAAAACCAGCCCAGCCCAGCCAGGCCCCCTACCAAGAAGAGGAACAATCCACGTGGGCAGGGGGGGATTTTGGGTATGGCCTAGACCGGATCTGCATCGGCGGGTAAAGGCGATCCGAGGGAGGGGGGTGGAGCCACCACATGTTGGGACGAAGAGCCACATAATCTAGACCGGAGGCCCGGAGAAGAGGCTCCACGAAATACTGCCGGGAGGGATGCCATGTTGCATGTTGCATTTTTGCTGGTTCCGGGACGAGAACGAGAACGAAAAAGAAAAGAAAAGAAGAGAAGAGAAAAGAAAAGTTGCGCCAGACGGGACGAAGACGAGAGACAAGGGGGCGGCTTGGGCCTTGGGGCATGGACTTGGGCTGAAGGTTGAACTGAACCGAGTTGCTCAACTGCGACATCGGTATCCATCAGGCTGCTATGTATGTAATGTATCCTCGTACAGTACTCGTACAGGCAAACGCACACGCGGCTGATCTGAGATTACGGGGGGAGGTGGCCAATATGGGTTCGCACGCCCAGCGTTTGCTCTGCTCTGCTCTCGTTTGTACAGTATGGCGGGCTGAGGTGATGCGCTTCTGATTCCGGCTAGCATGCCGAACCTAGCGAGTTGATAGTATCGCCATTATATTGGATGTTGGATCGATATTGTCCCGTTGTATTGGGGCCAAAAGGTGCATTGCATTGCTCTATTGGCTTTTCTGGCCCCCCGGGCTAGCGGCTGATCACGAGACTTTTGTTGCCAGATGACTGGGCTTGAACAAGAACCAACAGTCACAACAATAGCGAGAGGGGGAAACTCAGCTGGTCAATATTTCACTATAGAGAGAGGGGCTGCGATTCAATCCAATTCAATTACTACAGGAGGGGCATTCATGGGAACACCCCCCTTCGGCAGAGAGAGCAAGGGAAGAATCCGCAACTTCAAACCCCAAACCCCGAAGCCTATCCGTCCTCTTACCCAGGGCGGCGAATTCTGACGTGCTGATCCGACATCCGTTCGCGGCACGGCAGCCAGGACCGGGTTGCGGCAAGATTAGGCAATTCGTCTTTGTGCAACTCTGTCCGCAACAGAATGGAATCTTGCGGATCAAAAGGGAAGTGTGTGGGAAAGTTGCGCGCGGGCCTTGGTGCGAGTTGGAGCGAGGGAGCCGCGGAAAGGCTTCGGGGCCGCGATTCCGGGGGGTAGCGGCCAGATACCGACCTGGGTCCGAGTTCGCCGGGTCGCAGATCACGAGGCTGGTGCTGGTCCTTGGACTCGAAATCCCAAGGGTTTGGTTATGGTGTGGCTCTAGATCTCTCTTGTCACTTTCAGTGGGCAGACAAGACTGGACAAGACTGGACCGGACGAGACTCTCTGCCGCCGGCGCATCGCATCTCATCTCAGCCGCGCAAGGTTTCAGTCCAGGTTTCCCCGTCGAGAAGCCTCGGCCCAGCCAGCAGAGAAGTCAAGTCTTCAGCCCCAAACGACTGGAGATGCCAACTTGTCGATCAGGCCGAGACGAATCTTAAATTTTCCTCCTCTCTCTTCTTCTCAGCCCCCTGCCTCTAGTGCCGGCAGACGATGCATGCAAGAGCCCAGATCGCTGGAAGTGTGTGTGGCTGAGCTGTGCCAGAATCTGGCCGCCCATTGGCCGCTGGCAGCCGGCGGTCTCCGAACAAAGGCCAAGGTCGGCCATCCCGACTCCCTCCAAAACCAGCTGCGTCTCGTCTCGAACAAACCAGCAGCTCGCAAACATTCTCTCTCGCGTGCCGACATGCAGGAGAAGATGAAAATTTTTTCCCTTTCTCCTTTTTCCCACCCTCGGAACTGCCATTCTGCAGCACACTCTTGCTTGTTTGGTCTCTGCCTGCATTGCATTGCACGGCGATACGACCCGCGGCTTCGCTTGGGATCGCGCCCGAAGCGCTTGGGATCGGGTTGTAGTTACAGCGTAAGTTACTCGTACAGCGCTGCACGCATGTCACGCAACCAAGTGTGCCATATCACCTGATTACACACCAGGTCAATGGGATGAGGTAACAGGTGCACATCTTGCCATTTTCAAGGTGGGCAAGTAAACTTTGGCGAGACATGACAGATGATGAGAAAAAAAAAACAGAACGATATGGGCGCTTAGATCAATCATCAAAAAGCAAAAAAAGGTTTGTTTGCTTGCAGACACCCCCATTAGTAATTCCCGTGCGGAACTGTCCTTTCCCTTCTTTTTCGGCGTTTGGCATCGAAAAAATCCTTGGTCAGCGAACCTAGAGCCCGTGCGCTTGGGAAAAGTATGGGGGATTGACTTTTCGAGGGAGAGTCATGTGACCTTGGCATTCTAGTACGGTCAACAGGCTGCAAGTTTTTTTTTTAGAAATTTTTGCCAATGCTGGCTGGGTACGTATCCCCGCCTCGTATGTAATGTACCTGTATGCACTGCGCCGGAAGGGGCAAGACCAAGAACAAGAAAAATCTTGAAATGTCTTGCGCTGCCAGACGGTGGCTGAGACCAATGAGAACCTGTGCTGTACATACTGAGCGGACCGGCATTGCGCTGGGCAAGGATCTCGTTCGATCGCACTCAAACTTGATACGCCGGCCTATACGTCACATTCAGGTTGTTGCGACTGTTTTTTCCGCTTGTGGTTCCCGCTGCTGCTGAGCTAACACAATGCCATGTCCGTTAGGCTATGTTTTTGTCGGCGAAACGTTTCATGGGCTACCATGGCCGTTAACACCGAAAGGAGAAATAATCTGTGAAAAAAAGGTTTGCTAAGTCCTAATCAAGGAGGGCTGTGGAAAGCCATTGACGGGAAAATTCTAGAAGTCTCTGCCCGCTACGCCGATGTGGCTGCCCGTCTGTCCAGTTCGGTGACAGCCAAGACAGCCAGACACTTGGCTGGTTGTTGGACCCTTGGCCGAAGCCACAGGCACAAGCCACAGGCATGTCCCTTCTCCGCGGCTGTGCCTTGGGGTGTGTGCGAGTTGAGTTGTACATACATGCGGATTCCGAAGGTGGCCGCGAAAGGCGATGCGATGCGAAGCTACTGTAGTTATACGATAGCGATGCCGATGCGAGCTGATAGTTGAGATTTTACTGCTGACATGTCAGTGACTGACACTGACTAGGTAGGGGGACGCAATCCGTTGGTTCGTGTGCGCATACGCAGGCAAAGTACGTGCAAAGAAGAACTGCCTAGCATACCAGCAATGACAAATGACCGATGAGTTAGGAGTTAGTCATACGCGCACCACGCAGCCATGACCAGGTTCCTGACTTGCGAAGCCGCGGAGGCCATTGCCCTATCAAGCGCCGGTCTCTGCATCTGCTCAACCAAGCATGACACGCTGCTGAGTCGGCATCTGCTAGTAATGCAGTTATGTACCTACCTTAGGTACCTATGCCAAATACCTGGCGGCGGTACGGAGAATGCAAGCGTCAATTATCCGTGTATACGAGCTCGTACCAGTGACCTCGGCGCCAGGTAGTGGCGGTGCGTGTGTAATCCGCGGGCCCTGAGACAACTGAGACAATCTTGCCAGCAAAACGGATTACCAAACCTGCTCAGCGCTACCTGCCGCGCATGTGCCTGTACATGTACAAGTACCTGCTCCCTTGGCCGCGGCTCCCCGGATGTGCTGTCGGCAGATTCTCGCAGGGCCTGGCTGACTCTAGCTGCGCTCGCAAGGCCGAAGATGCCCTTTTTTTCGCCGGTGGGGCTCGCAATTGCATCGATTGTCCACGCCCCTCCCCCTCGCTTCCGCACCCCTCCCTCCATCAGCAGGTCACCCCTCCTCCACCTCCGAGTGTCTGCGTCGACTCTTGACGAAACCGGTCGACCCGGTGGAGGGCCCTTGGAACGATATAAAGAGAAAGCATTTCGCCACATCGCCGTCAGATCGAACTTGCAAATACGCCCCCATACAATCTCCAACTCAACTCAACCATGCTATCTGTGGACCACAACTCATCACAACAATATTACCGCTTTCAACAACAGCAACAGCAACAGCAACAGCAACAGCAACAGCAACAGCAACAGCAACAGCATCAGCATCAGCATCAGCATCAGCATAACAACAACAACAACAACAACAACCATCATACAAAGCTGGACGACTTCACCTTTGGCAACTCAAACGACTTTGGCTTCTCGACCTCGACCTTTCCCTCAACCGAGCTCTCTGCGTCCAATCTCGAGTACCTCAACGCCGCAATCGCCTCTGCGTTTTCGTCTGACTCGATGCGGCCCGAAAGCTGGGACGCCGCCGCTCGCTTCTCAACTCCCAAATTTGGTCGTCTCCCCCATCAACGAGAATCCTCTCTGTCTTCCCTGGGATCCGCGGGGCCGGCGTCGCCCTTCAACTCGCACATCGCGAACCCCCACATCGCCGTCACTGACGCCAATGGTGACGGCTTCATGGACATGCACTCGCACGACATGACCATGAGCTCAGCTAGCCCTTACTACCAGCTGGCCGCCAAGGCGATGCCCCCCTACTCAAACAACTTCCACCACCTCGACAACGCCTCTGTCAGCGAGATGGCATATCCAATCTCCATCCCGACCAACAGCCACCACAAGCTGCGACAGGATCGCAACCTCCTCCCCGCCCCCGAGTTTGCAAACGGCCTGACCCGATCACATCCCGCTTCCGTGGCGAGCTCAATAGCAGGCGACTCGCCCGCTACTCCCGTCGCAGGAGAGGTTGATCTCTCCGACAGACGAAGGCAAGGTAGGCGCCGACCTCTCAACACCCACAACCAGCCGATTGACGACCAAGACTCATCATTTTGGCTCGCAGGTCATGGCAATGGGACCGTCCCCAAACTCGACCGCACGATGACGGACGTCTACGGCGATGAGCTGTACAACCCAAACTTCACCATCACCTCATCGCCACAGCAGAGCCAGGTGACGGCTGCGCCCAGCGACGTCTTCAACCAGCGCATCAGTGCCGCGAATAGCCAGCACCTCAGCACCATCCGGCATTCGCCTACGTCAAGCATTTCTCGAGACATCTCTCCCTTCCGCCATGGGTCTCCACTTGCTCCTTCGCCACTCCACGACTGGGCTTCCTCCCACGGTGCCGTGGCCATGAATTCACAGCCGCGCATGCCGGGCCAGGACCGCAATGGCCAGCACGATGCCCACTTCTTCCAGCAGCAGATGACCAAGACGACACAGCCCGGAACGCCCCAGACCATTTCTCCCAAGGATGCCGTCCTTGAGTTTAACGAGTCTGGAGAGGATTCCAACATGCCCCTGTTCTCTCACACGCCAATCAACTTTGGCATGGACCACATGGGCAGGATACTGCCCGAGGGAAGCGTCAACGGCCCCGCATCAGCGGCGCCCAACTACGGCCAGGGGGATCACGCAGGCCACATGCACAACTTGCCTCAGGTACCTCAACGATACCCGTTTATTGCCTATCCGCCACACAGCCAAGACGCATCAGCATCTCAATTGAGCTCTGCCGAGTCTAATTCGACTGGATCTGCGGCTTACAACACTCCCGCTCCCCAGAGCCGCCCTGCCGGCGCCAACGCTGATGGAGGCACTTACACCTGCACATATCACGGCTGCACACTACGGTTTGAGACGCCCAACTTGCTGCAGAAGCACAAGCGTGAAGGCCACAGGCAGTCGCACGGACTTGCCGGTGCTACTCGGCCACACCACGATCACATGGGGATGACCTCGAGCCTGCTCAACAGCCAGGCCGGACCCCACCGCTGTGACCGCATCAATCCAAGCACTGGCAAGCCGTGTAATACCATCTTCTCGCGACCCTACGATTTGACCCGGCACGAGGATACCATCCACAACGCCAAGAAGCAAAAGGTGCACTGCAACCTGTGTACCGAGGAGAAGACGTTTAGTCGCGCCGATGCGCTGACGAGACACTACCGGGTTTGTCACCCTGATGTTGAGCTCCCCGGCAAGCACCGACGACGCGGTGGAGCTTAATCTGACGGGGAACGAGAGACATTGCAACGGGAAGTCTGTTTCATTGCAGCCAACTCAAAAAAACCGATTACAGTGGCATTTTGGCTGTATGACGTTTTGCATGGGCGCGAGAGGGGGGAAACAAGCATCAACCAACGTCAATCAACGTCAACGACAGCGATGGCGCACTTGCTGGAGGGCACGCAAATCGAAGATGGTCGATCCTGGCGCTCTCCAAGCTTTCTCTGCGGGGAAAGGTGCGCTTCGTTGGAGACTTCAGGCTGGACGGCAGAGCCAATGAGAAGGCTCCAGTATCTTCTTTGGCGTTCCTCTCCCTTAGCTGTCCGGTCCCAGCGGTCGCCGAGTGGGTCTCAGGGTCCTGCTGCAGCTGCAGGGTCTTGGTTGGTGAGCAAGCGGCGCTGACGTCACGCTACCTCATAGTCCCTCCACCACTGACATCACCCACGTCTGCTCGTGCCCTGATTTCATCTCGGCTTCGATGGCCCTGCTTGCTGCAATGGCTGGGGAATGACCGCAATGACGACAGCTCTGGCTGATGTCGTGCGTTGAATGATGCTACGAAGCAGATGGAAGCTCCTCGCGATCATCCCTCTCCAGAGCTCATCACGCCAATCCGCTTCCGGCTCCAAAACTGGTATTCAACCAAGTCTAAACTCACACCCTCCCTGGCGATTACCGTTTTTGCTTCCAACGATGCTACGCGATCATGATGTACTGTACACCACAATTGCTTTTGTACCAGCTTTTTTTCTTTCTGATCTTCTTTGTTCACTTTTTTGTCTTTGATCCCGATTGTGCATCCTTGGCTTTCATCATCATTGTACTACTTCCGGTTTCTTACTTCATTTTTTTTGTTGCACATTGGGAAAGCGGGGCCGCATATGGGAAGGCGGCAAAGGATATTCGGATTTCATTATTTTTAGACCACTCAGGAATGCTTTGCAAGCATAATCCATTCGATTCTCTTCTTTTTCCTTTGTTGGGGAAAGTGTATTATCACACAAGATCAACGGTTCGCCAGACTGGATTCTCATTTTACGGACCAATGCATTCGACCGTTTTTTTTAAACAAAAACAAGAAATGGGATTGACATTCATGAGGGCGAAGGCGCACACGCAAAGCTAAACAGTGAGTGGGTTACTCTGAAGGGAAGCAGATGTTTTTTTCTGTTTAATCTTTATTTCCTCTTTTGCTTCCTTTACCTTTTTTTTCTCTCTCTGCGAACCACTTGGTTGGATTATAGACAAAAAGAAATCATGTATACTAGTCTTACTATTTCATCACGGCAATAAATTGAAAGCCTCATGAAGTCATTTTACTTTCTCTTCATCTACAATGAACCGTGAAATACCCCGGATTGATGCACGTGCCTTATTGTATGCGGAATCAGTAGGTAGCTTTTTCCCTATTCTCATCCATATTTCTTAGTGTAGGGTACGAGAGTACCTGGGCGGAAGACACGTTGCGAGGCTGCGACGCTAAGGCGGTTTTCTCCACTGGCTTTTTAGTACGTAGCCCTACCCGTTAAGGCGGCGCGTGAATTGATCACGTGCCCTCTTTGCAAGGTCGTTAGTTTTCTTTGAGGCGTGGCTTTGGCATGTGACCAGCCAGAGGTGGATTGAAAGGAGGCCTATACGAGTACGAGATGACTCTGACTTTGACTTTGGGGGGTGTTTGTTTAGGTGAAAGAGTCATGTAGGTAATTTAATCAATTTGCGATTTGTTTTTCTGGGTAACTGAATCATTTGGATGATTGGGTGTGGTTTGTACTCGTAGGTTGGGAGGGTGGTCCTTTTGTCTTTTTGACTAGCGGGGTTGGTGAGTCAGGGACGGCGGTTATGTCTGAAAGGGCTGGCGAAGGGATTGGTTGAGATGGAATTTCCTCTCCTTTCGTAATGGGGATGTAACAAAGGAAAGGGGAGATGCTGTGCTGAAATTGCATGGATTTGTGGTATGGGGGTTTGATTTGGATGCTTTGTTGAGTTTGTATGTGGATGGAGTTTTGAAGTGAAGAAAGGGGATCTTGGCGGGTTTGGATGTGGCCGGGTTTGGCAGCCAAGACTCGGATGGTGTTGCTTTCGATGTTTGGAAGATTGAGTAGAGGTGTGTCTGGGGGTAGATGTAATTGAATGAGTTAAATCTTTGTTATGATACACATCTGGTTGGAAATGAGCAGTGTCGGTTGCTATTAGGATAGGTAGCGAACTTCTAGTTCCTTGAGGATCTGCTATCATTATTACTTTCTGATGGTATTGTCATTTTCTTATAATGTCTGCCACTATAGCTATGTTTATTCAGGATTTGGTGAAATTTTCAGTAGTTTTAGTTTTGAGGATGGGTTGCTGGATAGTGAACTTGAGTGTTGAATGGCCATTTCAAAACAATGGGAACTAATGTGATTGGAGTAAAGGGGATGGCGCACTGCATGTCACTTTAACAATTCAACGAGACTTTTAATCTTTTGCAACTCAGGTTTGACCATTTTTTATATCACAATAGCCATCATCCTATTCACAGCCATACAGCGCAATTGTCCAATACCGTATCTGGCGCAAACACTCTACCGGCACTACTAGAGCAAAAGCTCTACAACTACCGCTCTCCTGCACAGCTGCGCACACTGCTCCCGAGTCACCAGCTTGCCTTCTCTCACGCCAACTTCCTTCAGAGTTCTGGCAACAGAGTCCTCCAGCCCCCAGCGCGTTGCGAGATGGCTCTGCCTTTCTCGGTTGCGGCCCTGAATTCGGGTGTGCCCATCTGCACCGCCTGCGAGATGAGAGCTTGCTCAATCGTCGAGTGGGCACTCACATGCACCACGGTTGAGTGCTCTGTGCTCGACGAACTCGTTGACGTCTCCTCATGGTAGTCGCCGAGCCAGGTTTCCACGTCGATATTCACCCTCTTTCTTTCCGACTCGCTGCGGGAGCTCGCATCTGTGCTGAAGAGGACCGAAGTGTCGCCTCAATGCGTTAGCCGCCGACGTAAAAATCGCCGTATATGGCGCTGAAAGCATCAATCGCTTGACCATACAACACGTCAAATGCATCTGGTGAAAGCTCTGGAGGACGCATCAATGCCACCGTGCCGGCGCGATAGCTCGTGGTGACCGACCCCTTGTTCGAGTCCCTGTTCTCCATGACGTCTTGGTCATAGTGGACGGAGACGCTGCCCTCGAGACAAGGCGTATCAAACCCGACGCCCGCGCCAACGCTGAGATGGTCCGTCGAAGCGGACGAGCTCATCGCCTCGGAGGACCTGAAGCTGCAGTTGCCATCGTTTGCCGTGAACTCTATCGGTGCTGAGATGAGGGAATACGTGTTGAATGCCGACTGCATGGAGAATGGGTTCTCGCCGTTGGCCGTGGCCGCCGACCGAGTGAGTGCCTGCTGGGCCACACGGGGGATGAGCGGGTCGAACTTATTGGGGTCGAGGGTATCAGCTGTCAGAGGGCCCTGCCAGAGGTTTAGTTGAAAACATTGGGCTCAATCTCTTGTCGGATTTCATCTGGTTCGAGATTTGAGAATCTGCGTCCTTTGTCTTTGGTCGTGTGTGTTTGGTGCTGTGCAATCATGTCTCTGAATCTCGCGCCTTACAACAACGGCATGCGCCTTGGTACGTTGTTCACACAGTTTTCTTTATATAGCCCACTAACGCGATGTAGGCCAGGGGTAAGCTCTGCAATTGGACCTCAAGAAGAGCATAGGGGTTTTACGCTTTGGCGTGTTACTGCTGAGTTTGTGGATCTGGAGTACCACAATTTTTGTTTTACATCGGAGCACATTAATCCCACTACTTGGAGTTCATAATCTTCGAACTTTGCATTACCTGCTAGGTACTTTAAATCATATAGATACTTTGGTACTCATATCTACCCAGGGGCAACGAGGCTTAGAGTTCCCAACTTTGGAAAATGGAGGCGCCTTGATCTGCCTTGGAGGAATTTTATGCATTGTAATTGCCCAGGTTTGTATCCTCGTGTGTTCCGGTTCCTTAGTACAGTGGCCTCTATCACGTAGATTAGTATATGTACTATATAGGTAGCTACCTGTTTATGAATACTACCAAGGTATAGATGCCCTAGGTAGATATATACGCAGGTATTCTACTCTTCTAATTCTGTGAGTATATGTACCTACCTACCCAAGAAGCCACCCCATTTATGTACTACTAGGTACCTAGGTACTATACCTACCGACATGAATGTACCTAAAACTCTATAACCCCATCTCATTTTGCCTTTAATCCTATTTAATCACCCCTTCGAGTATGAAAGTATCTTCAAAGGAGAAGGCTGAATACGATCCTAAAGAAGGTTTCGAATATCGAGTCCTAGGTTCAATGCCTCGGGGCAAATTGGCCCACACCGGATATTATAAATACATACCTATTAGCCCCAATCGAATCCTCCGCCTCCTCTTACCAGATATTCACTCTTAAGAGACAGAAAAGAACAAGAAAAGAGAACGTTCTGCCATGGATATCGTCAAATACCTCACCGACCTCATATGGCGCGCGCCTGAGTGCCAATCTCAGAACAGCCCTATACTTCAGCTGCCAGTCGAACTGCTTCTTAACATACTTGATTTCCTTCCTCCTTACAGTCGACTACTCGTCTACCAAGCCTGTCGGGCCCTGCGAGCAATCGGTCATCGAAACTTCGTTGCTGGGAGGGGAGTGATCCTGGTCACAACGGAGCACAGACTGATTTATCTCACTCATCTCGCCAGATCTCTGCCTGATCGATGGGTTTGTGCTAAATGTTGCAAACTTCATCCAACTAGCAGGTGGGATACGCCATCATGTTGGTTTTATAGACCAAGATGTGGAGATGGCTACGATTGGAGTTCCGATAAACACAGCGTATCCCGCAATTTTTCTTATCATCAACATTCTGCATCGCATAGACACATTGAACTCACGCTCAAGTACGCTCGATTGAATAGCTCAAAGAGAGCACATCAGGAACATCTCAAAAGACTTCTTACAGCACATCACGCCAGCAGTATTCGTGTAGCTGAAGGCATTCAACTCAAACGCTCTTTTTACCCCAAGGTTATAGATGGAAGATATTTACTTCTTACCGTCAAGACTTATCTTGGGGTTGGAAGTAATCTTATATCACAACGGTCTATAGATTGGATGCAAATTTGTCCTCATCTGGCTGCCCTGGGTACATTTTCCTTGTCCAATCATAGGATGCATCTAGGGAAGATTATATACTTGGCTTTCGCAGCGCCAGCGAATACTCCAATTTTTGAATCCTGCTCTTCTTGTGGAACAGATTTCTCTGTACAGGCATCACCAAAGCGAGCTACTGTATGCATATGGCAAGATTTAGGTCCGGAAGGATCAGTATATGATCCAGAGTGGGCGGCGATGGTGCGCGGGACGACAAAAGTCTATCACCGGCCTGGAAGCATTCGGGAGCTATATGGCCAGCATAAGCACAATGGTGAACTCTTACAGATAGTCCCCAAACCAGTTGTCTTCTAGTGTATTTGTCAGACTAGAAATAAGGGTCAAAGTCAGGAAATTCAGCAGGATTTGAGGTACCCCTTAGTTAGGCCGTCAGTTTGGGCACTAATACAGATTTCCTATGTATATAAACCCGTTATCTACTAGGTAGTTAGTAAGTAGCTTAGATTAACTAATATTTGTCTAATTCGCTCCTTTTTACAATTCCGGTCTTCCGGGGTAAAATAGCCCTTATTTTTATTCTAGTTTTATAGTTATAAGCCTGGCGTTTATTTTAGTAAAATATAACAAGCTGAGCTCCTATAGGGTTAGTATAGAAGGAATTTCCTAAGGGATAAACCTTATACTAGGTTTATATTAGCGGATAGGCTAGGCTAAACTAGTAGGTAATTAATAAGAAATTAAGTATAAGGTATTTATATAATTATAAAAGATATTTTATAAATATAATTAAGTATTATTTTATATTTATAACTAGCTATTTAACTATTTTAAATAAATATAAAAAATAAAACTTATATATTTAGTTATATTAAATTAAATTAATAAATAATTTATTAATTTATTTATAAATTAATATTTATTTTATTAATTTAGTATTAAATTAAAAGAATATTTTTTAATTTTTTTTAATTAGTTAAAAGGATTAACTTTAATTTAATAATACTTAATATATTAGTTCCTTAGTTATAATTATAAATATTAAGTTATAATATAATATCTCTTTTTTATTAATTTTATTTTTAAAACCTTATTTTATTTAATATAAGTAATTACTTCCCTTTATTACCTTAAGTTAATTAATTATTTTTTTAATAATATATATTTTTATTAATTATTATATTAGGTATTTATAAAAAGTTTTATTTTAAAACTAAGTATAAGAATATTTTATTAAAATTATTTTATTTTATTTTATTAAAATAAAAAATTATACTTATTATATAAATAAAAAAAAATATTAATTTTTTAAGTATTAAATATTTAAAAAGGATTTTATTTATTATATTAAGTATATAAAAAATAATAAGTCTTTTTATAATATTTATTTTTTATTAATAACTTAATTTTATAAAATTACTTTTTTTTATACTTAATATAAAAAAACTTTTAAAAAAGCTAAAGAAAAATATAAAATTATTAATATAAAAAAAAAGTATTTTTATAAATTAAAGTATTTTTAATTAAAGAAAATAACTTATATTATTATATAAAGTATTAATAATTTAAAAAAATTAAATTAAGTTAAATATATAAAAATAAAGGCCTTATATTAATTTAAAATATTATTACTTAATTTATTTAATTTTATAATTTTAAATTCTTAAGAAATATTTATAGATTTTTTTTTAATATTTATTTAAAATCCTTAAATTTTAATTTTTTTACTTTAATAAGAAATATTTTTTTATTATTTTCTTAAGTAATTTAAAAAATATAAGTTCTTTTATTATAAGTTTTTATTATATTTATAAAGTTTATTTTAAAAGTTTTTTAAAATAATATTAATATATTTAAAATTATTTTTTAATTTTTAGTTATTTATACTTTTATTATATTTTTTTTATTTTACTAAGTAATAAAGTTTATTAATTATTTTATTTATTTTTAGTAATATTATTTTATTAATTTTATATTTAAGGTTTTTACCTTTAATAATAATTTTATTCTTAATAAATTCTTTTATATTTTTATTTATTAATACTTTTTTTAATAATAAAATATAAAAAATTAAGTATACTAATTTTTTTTATTTATTAAGTTATTTTAAAAGATTTAGTTTATAATTAACTTTACTAATTTTTTTTAAAATTTTATAAAGCTTAACTTTTTTATAATCTAGCTTATTACTTAGCCTATTAATTTTAATATTAATTTATTTTTCTCCTTAAGTATATTAAAGTAAATAAACTATATCTCCCTTTTAAAGGGTTAATTCTCTAAGCTTTTTCTTATTTATATACTTTTTTATATATTCTTATATAAGTTTAAGTTATATATATAGTTTTTAATATAATTTTTTAAGCTTATTTACCTTAAGTATAGCTTTTTATATATTTTCTCCTTTTTATAGTATTTTATATACTTAAGGGTAATACCTTTTATTAGTGTAAAATAATAAAAATTTTATTAATTCTAAAACTAAATTATTATAAGAGAATTCTATATTAAGTAAGTACTTAACCTAGTTATCTTAATTAAAGTTAATATAGCTTTATAAATATACTTTAATAATCTAGTTAATATATTTTATTTATTTATTTATTTATAAGTAATAAGTAATATTAGCTTTATAGTTTATTTTTATTTTTACTATAGTATTTTATTAATATTTAAATATAAATATTAATTTTTTATTAAAAATAATATTTATAGGTAATTTATACTTTAAGGTTATATATTTTTATATTATATAGCCTAATTCTTCTATAATACTATTTTCTTTATATAAAATAAAAATATTTTATTTTATTAACTTATTAATAATAATAAAAATACTATTATATATTATATTTATTATAGACTTTTTTAATAGTAGTAGCTTAATAATATAGTTAAATAAGATAAAGCTCTAAGGGTACTCTAGGATTAATAATAATTATAGTTTACTATAAGGTTTTTATTAATTAGATTTTATTTTTATATATAAGATATATAATTTAATAATTTATTTAATAATTTTTTTTATATTTATAAAAGTATAGTATTATTAAACTTATTATAAGGTTTTAGTAATTCTTTTATATTTATATAGCAGGTGCTTATAGACTATTTTAGTTACTTCTTACTATAATAATTCTAATACCTAGATTTTCTTATTCCTATATAAAAGTCCTTTTATAAGGGTTATATCCTTAGGGAATTAATTTAATATTTAATTACTAACTTTATCCTTAATTTTATTAAAAATAAGGTTTTTATTTTTAATAATAAAAAAGGTATTAATAATTACTAATTTATAATACTTTTTTATTATTTTTTAAAATATTAATAAAGTAAATTTTAATATTAGTTTAAAGTAGTTTTCTCTATAGCTAAAAGTATTTATATAATTATTTTCTAATTTTTTATAAAATATAATTTTAAAATTATACT